CTGTGCCGTTAACAACCTGCTGGAGAGAGACCAGAGTTCCCAGCATTCTCCTCTCCAAGGCATTTCATCTCACACCACCCTCCTGCTATGGCATGCTGTGCACAATAGCGGCTTCTCTCCAGCTCGCCATGTGTTTTGAACAGTGACCTCACTTATCAAAAGTTAATCCACCTGATTCAGGTTCTATTGCATCAGAATAGTTGAAGATATCTTATGTTGTGTAGTGTGTGCTTTTTTAACTTCATTTTTCAGAGTGTGTTAATGCAGCTTTTGTCCTAGGTACACTTGCGAATAATTTTTTAGGTCACTTTTGCAGGTTTCTTCAAGTGACCCTGGAGACGTTACCACAGTTCTTCTGGATTTAGTTTGTCTCAGTTTTTTGTTTTGTACACAGATTAAATCCAGAAGAACTGTGTCAACGTCTCCAAAACGCTTGAAAAAACCTTCCTCCAAAGCTCCTTGAAAAACTATGTGCAAGTGCACATGGACAAAAGATGTTTTAAACGCAAAGGGTGGTGACACCAAAAAATGTATTTGATAGATTTAGTTAAAGGTGCCCTAGAATGTTTTTTTATATTATTTTATAATGTTTCCTGGGTTGCCCTTATAATGTTAGTATGTTTTTTAGATCAAAAATAAATTTAGAAATAAAAGGCATTTTTCCTAGCCTGATTTTAGCCTCTGATTTGAACACTCTGTTTGAAGGGGCGTGTCTGCTGTGGGATTCAGTGTAACCGCGGCCTCTGCTGTGATTGGCTGACATGCTTGCATATGAAATAGCTATGTATTACATGTGAAACTCTCTCGAATAATTTTACTACAGCTATTATACGTTTTTACTATTACAGCTATCGAGATTAACGAATCGTGAGATGTTTTTTAAAGTATTTAGATCTATTCCCATCACATACAATGTTGCCGTGATGACTGAGCATTGAGCAAGCAGATGACAGTCTGTTGATCGCGAGAATGAAGATCTTATCATTGCAATGCAGTTTCTGCACTCTCTCTAATGCTTTCACCAATGCAAACACGATGATGTAAATACAGTAAGAGCTTCGTTGTGCAGTGTAACGTGCGTCATTGAATTCATAACGAGTTTGGCAAGTATCCAGATAAACTCGCGCTGTGGAAAGATGGTTCTTTGATCGCTTTCTTTATATAATTTATTCACAATTTAAATGTTTTTTTCATCCTACTAAAAGAAACGATGTGAAGTTGATATTTTAGTCACTGGCTTGGCTTACTGATGCATAAACAGTATTGAACGATTTTGAGAGAAAGATTACCTGTCTGAACTTGAACAATTACACATCAGAAAGTGTTGCTTGGTAGCTCGATCCGAGGCCAGCTCTGTATTGGCCCAAGTTGAGGAAACACTCGGTGAAATGTTTGGAAATTTCCAGAGAAAATAAAATTAACCCATTGTTTCTTCAGAGGCTCGGATGAAGGAACTAAAAAATACTTTTGTGTTCATGTGTACATCCAAACACTGAGCAACTGCTATGCTTCGGCTGCGCAGTTCCGCCTGGCATTGAACATGGGCTGGCATATGCAAATTCTTGGAGTCGTACATATTAATGATCCCGACTGTTGCGTCACAGTCTGTGTTATGTGGAGATTCGCCTATTTTTCAGGGGTGTTTTTCAAAAACGAGATTTAAGTAAGAATGAGAAAACAATGGTGTTTTAGACTCACTGTATGTCATGTCCATGTACTGAACTCTTGTTATTTAACTATGCCAAGATAAATTCAATTTCACATTCTAGGGCACCTTTAATAGAAGTTAATGGATAATTAAACTCTATTTATGACACTATTTTTCAAAGCATCCTCACTTTACAGCTTTTTTACGCAAGTGCATAAAACTTTTCACAGTAGTAGCTTTGCAGGTAGGATTCTTCAGGCATCTTGGCCCCAGTTGCCGCAGTTCTTCTGGATTTAGACTGTCTCCGTTTTTTCTGTTTCTTTATATAATCCCAGATGGACTCTGATGGTTAGATCAGATCTCTGTGTGGAGCACACCGGCTGTCATCAGACTTCTTTTGTATACAAACATGTCACTGGATTATATTACAAGTAATGGCAAAAGGAATGTTTGGAAATGTAAACTGATATTTCCTTTTGACACACTACAGCAAAAGATAAATAACTGGCTTAAACCCATTTTTTATGGTGAAAATGCCTAAGACTTTTGCACAGTTATATTAGTGGAATTAAATGGTCTCAGTGTGACAATCTACACTGGCGTGTATGTGAAAAAAAGGTAAGAAATCTCCTTTTTGATGGGTTCTATTGGTTTTGTTTCTTTTGCTGAGGTTTGTATTCATTTTGGGTTTGCGATGCATGTCAATATCCAGTGAGGTCTCTGTTTATGTACACATGCATAATGCATGGCTCTATTTGCTGCCCTCACGGCTTTGACTGCAGACGATCGAAGTGTGTGTGAAGAGAAAGGAGACCTGTGACATTTCCAGCAGTTAGGAGGAAACCGCTCTGTCAATGTGATTGGCACACAGTGTGTGTGAAAATAGGGAGAATGTGATGAGCTGCAGTCTATCTAAAGCTTTCAATCACTCATATTCAACAGCTTTTGTTCATTTAGTGATTCCTCAAGGATGAATGGATGAACACACACATACAGTAGTGGCCAAAAGTGATGTCTGGAGGGCATTTGTGCTTTTAATGACATTTCAGGTTCAACTAAACAATCAAAATATGAGGAGTATGTTATATTGGGAAAAATAATTATTTGGCAAGTAAGGTAAACTCCAGCATATAATTAAATGTTTTTTTTTGTATTATGCAACAACAACAACAAAAAAGCATAGAAAAACAAAAATCTAACTTGAAATAAATTATGCATTGACCACAATGTAATCGGGTATTAATATTGTATTGGTTCTCCCAAAGTTTTCAATGGCTGAGAAGGCCACTTGAAGACTTCAAAATGTGTTTGGGATCGTTATCATGTTGGAAAATACACATTTGCTGTCCAAACAGATCCTCCATACTTGGTATTTCCAAGTATTGGTTCATTTTCAAAGTGCCTGCAACTTTGTAGATCCTTCCAACAGCTGCTGCAGACATGCATCCCCAAAACCAATATGTTTCCTAATGGCACCATGCATTCATTCGGTATTAAAACACTCCATTCGTCTTCTCCGAACATACCTGACACCATCCAATGCTAGGTTGTTCAATTTTGACATGTCGGACTGTAGAATACGCCCCAATCTTCCACACTCCAGTCCTTTTTTTCTTTGGCAAATGATTTTTGCAGTAGATAAAACTAATAAATGTTTTTTTTTTTTTACTGGTACACAACCTATCAATTCAGCCTCTTAAAGCCATTGGCTTACAGTTCAAGATGAAATTGGAGGTTGGAGGGCTCATCCAAATCTTTGGAAGCTGTTTTGAGGTGGTCCCACATTCAAGTGATTTTCATTCTCTTGTCAAAATGCTCACTAGCCTTCCTTGACCAGCCACAGCACTTTACATTCTGCATGGTTGTTGTCTCACTGCTTTTAAATAATTCTGTGGACATTGCGACCATTCACATCCAGCACATGAGCGATATCCAAAACCAATTGACCATTGGGCATACAAAATATATAATAATTATTTAAAAGTTTGAATAAAGTGCTAAGATTTTCCTAAGTTGGACATCACTTTTGGCCACTACTGTACTCATGCACAGACATGTCAACGCCCTAACTTTGAAAGTGTCTCTTGGTTTAGTTGCTTAAACACTTTGAGATGAATTTATTCATGCATCCAATAATAGTGCAAATGGACAGCAAAGACGGAAGACTTTTCAAGTTGTCAAATATACCTTGCATCAGGGCACATTGTGGAGCTTTTGAAACATTTTGATTAATAAATGAGCTTGGGTATTACTTTCTAACTGCAATGGATTAAAAGATTTCCAAAGTGTTTTCAGAAAAATGTTGCATGGCTTATCTGACTAATCGTGTTTTACAGGATAACATCTGTCCCTGCTATTAGGAAACAACCTCCCATGGTGTTCCTAAGGGGGTCTCGATGCAATGTGAAATTTACAATGTGACATTTAAAGGTCATTGTGGAGTGACTGGATGGATTTCTTGAAGTATTTGCATCTTCGTTTTACTATAGTTATGATCTCCGTTATTTTGAGTTCTCTACTGTTATTTTTATACATTCAGTAATGAATAAGTGTGAATCATTGTAGAAGGACAAATGTAATTAAGTCAGTACATGGTAGAATTGTACATGGTAGAATGACCTAAAGATTGTAATATTATGTACACTACTGAACAAAGTTTGTAGTCTGTAATGTTTTTGTAAGAAGTATCTTATGCTCACCAAGGCTGCAGTAATATTGTAAAGTTTTATTACAATTTATAATAATTGTTTTCTATTTTAATATACTTTAAAATGTCATTTATTCCTGTGATGGCAAAGCTGAATTTTCATCAGCATCATTACTCCAGTCTTGACTCATCAGTGTCACATGATCCTTCAGAAATCCTTCTAATATGCTGATTTGCTGCTTAAGAAACATTTATTATTATCAATGTTGAAAACAGTTGTGCTGCTTAAAATGTTTATTTCTTTGAAAGTTCAAAAGAACAGCATTTATTTCAGATAAAAATCTTTTGTAACACAAATGTCTTTACTGTCACTTTTGATCAGTTGAATTAAGGTGTTTTTTCTTAATAATAGTACTATTTATTTATTTTAAAAAAATACTGACCCCAAACTTTGGAAAGGTAGTGTAAATAATAGTCTAAAGGTCAACAAGTCAGGATTTGTTAACCTTTACAACTTCTTTCTGTTATCCTTTAGCTTCGCTCTCTTCTCTCAGTCAGTATGGAGTGAATGGGGCAGCAAAAATCTTGAAAGAGTCTTTCCAGTCAATTCTTTTAGCATGATTTCCTGAGTGCAAGCCTTCACGCTGGGCAGTGGGGGCAAACAGATGCCTGACTGGCACCCCCTCTTTCTCCCCTCTCTTCCAGGCTCTCTGGTGGGTGTTGGTGATGTCATCTCCCAGCAGCTGATTGAGCGCCGTGGACTGGCCAATCACAGCGTGAGACGCACCGCCAAGATGATGAGCATTGGCTTCTTCTTCGTCGTAAGTCTCCTGTGATTCTGTTCCATTTGCATGTGTTTCTCTTGAGATTCTCCAGCTTTGGAACTTTGGATTGATGTTATTTAAATATTGGGCCAAGAGAGTAAAAAAAAAAAAAATCATAAAGCTTTTCATGGGTATCATTCTATGAAAGTAAAAATAAAATATTCTGACAGATCAAAAATGTCCTTATTGTGATTTTTTTTTTTTTTTTTCAGTTTCACAAACCAGGTTAAATCTAGTTCCAGACTAATGCATGTTTGAGCTGTTTTAACTAAAAGCAACTTGCACTGACATACCTTAAATAGCTAGCTGCCATTGTTTTGTCTCAAGATGCACACCAGAGGGTTGTTCCATAAAACAAGATTAGAATACAAGCCAGGCTTATTTTGGTTAGTCAGACTTATTGTCGGTGGATTCTGTTTCATAAAGCAAACTTAAAATAGTTCAAACTCAGTTACGCTGGCAACTTATGCTGGGAAACTAACCTGGTCCAGGGCAGGCTAACTGTCAGGCTAAGCCTCAGCTGTTACACAGATCCTCTAACATTGACCAATAGGACCACAACGATATTACCACTGACACTCTCTCATACCATTATTATTGGACTTTATTAACCACTATTAGTCCAAAAATAAATACGCAGTTTACAGAAAATCAACTTAAATAAGGCTAGAAAGATAGATAGAAAGAAAGAAAGAATTAATATATATCCTACAGGTTTTCTTTTCTTACTGTCTGAATGTTTTGTGCCCAAGATTTAATTAGATTGTTTTAAATATGTATGAATACATTTCTCTCTGGTTTTGTTTGGCAGCTGTAGTACATTTTATGGCTATCATAAGATCAGAGAAAATTACAATCTAATAAAAAGCTTTTTAAAGCAGAAGTTAAAATCACACAATTAAAAATAAATAATTACAAAAGCACAGTATAGATTTTAACTGGTAAGATGAATCTGAGCTTAGTAATTGACCTACAGTATATTAGCCTACATTTGATTTACCCCATTACAATAGTCCCTTTATAGTTATTGCTATCATAAAAATACACTTGTAGGTTTAAAATTGGGCACATCTAATGTCCAAATTACAAATATTTTAGCATATATTTATATATATATATATATATATACACTCACCGGCCACTTTATTAGGTACACCTGTCCAACTGCTCGTTAACACTTAATTTCTAAGCAGCCAATCACATGGCGGCAACTCAGTGCATTTAGGCATGTAGACATGGTCAAGACAATCTCCTGCAGTTCAAACCGAGCATCAGTATGGGGAAGAAAGGTGATTTGAGTGACTTTGAACGTGGCATGATTGTTGGTGCCAGAAGGGCTGGTCTGAGTATTTCAGAAACTGCTAATCTACTGGGATTTTCACGCACAACCATCTCTAGGGTTTACAGAGAATGGTCCAAAAAAGAAAAAACATCCAGTGAGCAGCAGTTCTGTGGGCGGAAATGCCTTGTTGATGCCAGAGGTCAGAGGAGAATGGCCAGACTGGTTCGAGCTGATAGAAGGGCAACAGTGACTGAAATAACCACTCGTTACAACCGAGGTATGCAGCAAAGCATTTGTGAAGCCACAACACGCACAACCTTGAGGCGGATGGGCTACAACAGCAGAAGACTCCACCGGGTACCACTCATCTCCACTACAAATAGGAAAAAGAGGCTACAATTTGCAAGAGCTCACCAAAATTGAACAGTTGAAGACTGGAAAAATGTTGCCTGGTCTGATGAGTCTCGATTTCTGTTGAGACATTCAGATGTTAGAGTCAGAATTTGGCGTAAACAGAATGAGAACATGGAACCATCATGCCTTGTTACCACTGTGCAGGCTGGTGGTGGTGGTGTAATGGTGTGGGGAATGTTTTCCTGGCACACTTTAGGCCCCTTAGTGCCAATTGGGCATCGTTTAAATGCCACGGCCTACCTGAGCATTGTTTCTGACCATGTCCATCCCTTTATGGCCACCATGTACCCATCCTCTGATGGCTACTTCCACCATGTCACAAAGCTCTAATCATTTCAAATTGGTTTCTTGAACATGACAATGAGTTCACTGTACTAAAATGGCCTCCACAGTCACCAGATCTCAACCCAATAGAGCATCTTTGGGATGTGGTGGAACGGGAGATTCGCATCATGGATGTGCAGCCGACAAATCTGCGGCAACTGTGTGATGCCATCATGTCAATATGGACCAAACTCCCTGAGGAATGCTTCCAGCACCTTGTTGAATCTATGCCACGAAGAATTGAGGCAGTTCTGAAGGCAAAAGGGGGTCCAACCCGTTACTAGCATGGGGTACCTAATAAAGTGGCCGGTGAGTGTGTATATATATATATATATATATATTATGTACTTTATTATGTCTTTCAATTCAAACACATTTAACACAATTATACAAATGGACAGTTCCTTTAAAGACATCATATTTTCCCCCAATAAATATTCCTTATTTTTCCTTCTACTTTTTTTTGTGTGAAAATACCCACCAACACATGGCCTAAAAACACATAATTAGAACAATAACCAATAAGTACATAGTTAGACACTTTTGCATATGATAAAAGGGGAAAAAGATAAATAAAAAAACATATATAAATAAAAATTAAACATCCACATATTTATATATCTCTTATAATGTATATATTTGCTCTTAATTTCATGTTATCCTCTCCATGGTGTACATTATAGAAACTAATCTAACCAATCATTTAAAACTGGCCATTCTTACTTTCTCTTTTTTTATGTTTTGTATATTTTATAGTCTTGCAAAAAATATAATTTCATTATAATACAAGCTTTCAGTGGAGAAAGATGCTTTTTGGCCGAGAATGGTGTAGTTATAATCTCATGTGGACGGCCACAGTTTGTTTTGTTCATACCTGCCTTTTAGAGGCTGACATCTGACACTCTGGTTAGTAAGATTTTTTTATTGTTTTTTTTTCTTCTTAAGTCTCTTGTCTCATTAAGTCTCTTTTCCTAACCAAGATGGCATTTATTTGATCATAAATGCATTAAAAATCAGTAATATTGCAAAATATTTTCACAATTTAGAATAACTGTTGGATATTTTAAAAATGTAATTTATTCCTGTAATGTAAAACACAATTTTCAGCAGCCATTGCTCCTACATGATTTTTTTTTTTTTTTTGAAATTCTAATGTTGATTTGGTGCTCAAGAATCATTATCTTATTATTATTCATTTTTGAAAACAGTTGCACTGCTTAATATCTTTGCAGAAACCATGATAGATCTATTTAAAATAGAAATATTTTGAAAGATTATAAATGTCTTTTACTCACAAATTTGATCAATTTAATCCATCCACGCTGAATAAAATACATTTCTTCAAAAAAAAATGTATGGTAGTGTATACCAAACTATTACTTTTTTTTTTTTTTAATGATTGCATAATAAAGATTTGAAGCCACTTGCAAATTCCTTGCAAATTTTTTTTTTAATTTCTTTTCATTCTCAAAAGCACTCGCTGTTTAAACCTGGAATTAAAAACAACTATTTCCAGTTCAGAATTAGTTTTACATTAGATGATAACAATACAATTTCACAAAGACAAAAAAGAATAATGATATGTTGCAAAATGTCAGTTGTGTTATGGCCATTACAGATCATGTCATTTGTTGGAACAGGTGATGAAGTTGCATAACTGCACACAGTGATTGACATATTACCTAACCCTGCTCTTCCCTTCCTCCCTCTCACACACACAAAGCACTAATGCACTTGTTCTGTTCAAATGACTTGAGGACTAATCTGCAAATGGCCTGTATGATTTAAAGCTTTTACAAGTCTGAGTGTTTTAAACATCAGACCTCAGTCGTTATTATTAGTGCAGTAAGAACTGCGTCTAGAACAAAAGTGCGAACCATAGGTCAGAACTTAAGGTAAAATTTGTGAAAGATTTTCTGTCCATTGAGCTGTAATTATATTGCATTTCTGACATGCTTATTTTCTGTTGGCGGTTTATGGCTGTGTTCTTATTGCCCAATCAACCGAATTAAGCAGAAGCTCAGTATTAATCATTTTATGTGTCATATTGACATCCTTTGTTTTGCTAAAAGGACAGGAAACAGGAAAAAAATGCAGAAAGATGGCATACAGCTGCTATATTTTCACTGTGCTTAGAAGAATGACAAACGTCTGCTCAAACAAGTGCACAGCTGTTTGTTAAAGACGCCCATATGCATAATTTAGCATTGGTGAGGGATTTTACATCGATGCCGCTGAACCACAAATTATAATTGCATTAAAAGAGAGATTAACCGAAGAATTCAGTTGTCATCGTTGACTGAAACACCCTCTGTAGACACTGTTTGACACGTTTATTGATCAGTTTCCTAATCAGGCCCAGACTGAAACCACACTGGGAAATGAAAAGAAAGCTCATTAATTCACAGAGGATTGGAGCTAATTACAGCCCGCTGTTTTCAGAATCACGTCATAAACAAATGAAACCACTGGCACGGCCTCAATGTTCTGAGCTTGTGTTCATGATTGTTTACTGAAGTGTTTGAATTTTTTTTAATGTGCTTCACATATTTAATTATGTTTCCTGTGTTTTGAAGGGTCCATTGGTCGGTGGATGGTACAAGGTGCTGGACAAACTTGTTACTGGTGGTACTAAAAGTGCAGCTCTGAAGAAAATGCTGGCTGACCAGGTGAGCAATGTATTGCAGTCATTTTTTGGGTGTGAGATCTACATGGTATTAATATCTTCAGTATTAATACACATTTGTGACGCGTGTGTATATATATACAGGGTTTGAAATTAACTTTTTTTTTAAAGAACTTCTAAAAAGAAAAAAGGCCGTTCAGAACTTCTACCAGACAAAAAAAGAAGAAATGAACCAGATTAACTACTTCACAGCTTTTATATATAGGCTATAGCTATGTATATATATATATATATTTGGATTTCATACATTCATTTCTTATTCGAACAAAATCCTGTCATACAGCAATCTCCTCCCTTCCTCAAGTGCGCCGTTATTTGTTGCTTAGTGACGTGTGTTCAAGTAAGCCAGATATGCGCAATACGCTGTATTTAATATATCATGATGACTCACGAGTTGAGTTTTTGCACTAAATCCGCGCAGATTTGTCTTACATGAACTTCCCCAGCAAAGTGAGTAAACTAACATGCCAAATTGGCTAGTGATTTGACAGTTTTACCCGCATTTGGCAGGTTGGTGGGTGTTAATTTCAAACCCTGTATGTATATAAAAATATATATATTAGTTTATTTTATACAAATATATATATATACACTACCGTTCAAAAGTTTGGGGTCGGTACGATTTTAAATACTTTTAAAAGAATTCTCTTCTGCTTACCATGGCTGCGCTTATTTGATTAAAAATACAACAAAAATCAGTTATAGTATTAAAAATTATTCCAGTGTAAATCAGCTGTTTTCTGTGTGAATATATAGTAAAGTGTAATTTATTCCTGTGATCAAAGCTGAATTTATAGTAAAGTGTAATTTATTCCTGTGATCAAAGCTGAATTTTCAGCATCACCAGTGTCAGTGTCTTCAGTGTCAAATGATCCTTCACAAATCAGTATAATATGAGGATTTGATGCTCAAGAAACATTTATTATTATTATCAATGTTGAAACAGTTGTTGGTCTGTCAGTTGTACAGTTTTTTTTTAGGATTCTTTGATGAATAGGAATTTCAAAAGAACAGCATTTGTTTGAAATAGAATCTTTTGTAACATTATAAATGTCTTTACTGTCCTTGATAAATAAAAGTATTGATTTCTTTCCTCCAAAAAATAAAAATAAAATTCTCACTGACCCCAAACTTTTGAACGGTAGTGTATATAAATATATATATATATATATATATATATATATATATATATATATATATATATATATATATATATATATATATATATATATATATATATATATATATATATATGAGAGTGTTACAATATATTATTATTAATAACATATAATACTTTTAAATAAGAGATTGATCGTCGATGCTCATTCAGATGATCTGCATTCAAATATGAATATTCCCCCATGCTGTCCTCCCTCTTCTCCCCACCGTATTAATAAAAACAATACAAAAGGCCAACAATAAAATCAGATCTCAACATTCGGTATGTTTCAAAATGTCTTTTCTGTCTTAGTTATAAATAGGCCCATGGAAAGTTGTCCTTGGAGCTGACTGTTGTCTTTTTTTGGGAGTCTGCAGACACATTTAAAGTGCTTTAAACTGCTATTTATTTTGAGATTTATTGTTAGAGCTGCTACGTACTTTATCCCTTTTGGGTATCCCATCTGAGCTCTCCCTTCATGCATGTCAAGTAATCCATCTCCTGATAGGCAGTCAAACAAATGAGTGTTTGCATAAGTCATTGTTTACATGATTGGTGGAATGAATGTACAGGATGAAGCGGACAAAGGCACGCAAGACAGGCCCTCTCCCCATCACCGGATTACACCCAAACAACAGCGCTTACAACGCCAGCCTGCTCTCCCACATTTATTCAGAAAAGAGATTCAAGGGCTATTTTTAGAGACCCACTTTCTACATTTCTAAAAGCCCATACGGCCAGCGAGAAGTTGTGTGTTTGTGTTTTCGTCTCTGGATATTACATTTTGTTTCTTTGATGGTCTTACAACGCTGTGTAAACCTTAAGGAAAAGAGGTCCACAGATGTTGAAGGCATTTGATTTTTCAATTGTCCATTTTGTAAAATATTATGAATCCAATATAGCTTAATAGCTAAAGATTCCAACAGTCAGTACGTAGCAGGTAATGCCAGCATGTCCATAGGTTACATCACTTTACATGCCCTGTAAAAGGCCTAAATAAAATAAAAATAAAACATGTCTCTTGCCATTTAAAATTATAAAGGATAAAACATTGTGGTATTTCTACCCAAAAGTCAAAAGAGAAGTAAAAGGGGTGGTTTTAGTTTGTGTTTGACACATTTTTTATGATGATATCTGTAAGAAATCTGCTTGGGATGTCCTTTGGAATTCCTCCATGTGTGGTTTTTTCAGTGATCTAGTGTGCTAATAATATATGGATGCATCAGTCTGTCATTGTCTCCTTGATAGCTTTCAAAATGCGCATCGCATGCATATTTCATCAGATGTGAAAATGTGCGTCAGTAGTCTATAAATTAACAATTAGGCTGGATTAGCCGTATAATGGTATTTATTATGAACAACACTGAACTTGATTGACCATGTACATTTATACGTCATCATCTATAAATGAACAGTTACAGTAGGTGCTCTCTGATCTAATCAAGTCTTTGTATATCCACAGGTGTGCTTTGCTCCGTGTTTCTTGGGTGCTTTCCTGGGAATATCCGGAGCGCTCAATGGACTGACTGTGGAGCAGAATGTGGCCAAACTCAAGAGGGTCAGTTTTCATCACAAGCCTGGATTAAAAATGTGCATTGTGACAACACAAATGACTAGTATTATTCTAGTGGCGCAAAGAAATGAAACTGAAAAAAAATTGGATGCACTGGAATGTTATGAAAACCAAATAGAATGTATAATTAAAATATATAATTATTTAATATAAAATAATTAATAATAAAAAAATCAATTTACAAATTAAATATATACTACTATTCAAAAGTTGGTAAGGGGGTTGGTAAGATTATGCTGTCTCTTATGCTGACCAAGGCTGGATTTATTTGATCAAAAAACAGTAATATAGTGATATTATTACAATTTAAAGTAACACCAGGGAACTTTTGCTCTCGGGGTGGGGTCCCCCTACAGTTGGGAAACAGTATTGTCGTCTAGACCTCTACTACTGTCGTAAACTCTGTCATCCTACATGCACGTGCAATTGTTGACAACCATGATAGCCCTGAACACTGTAGGAGGAGGTCACATGCAGGTGTTCTGCTTGCGTCGCGTGTGTGTCTTCATCCCAGGTACAGTGGCATATATTTCAGCATGTCATATGAATATGAAATCCAGCGTCATTATAGTAGCCTAGTCTATTGGTTACCGTTTTACTGAATCTATATGATACTTCAATGCAATGTTTGAGTGGTTGATAATAACCATATATCGTCAATATTATAATATCAAGCTACCATAAATGAATCTGCAAATTTTACAAATCGATTTGCATTATAGCTTGAGGCAAGACAAATAAACAAATATCACAGACATGTAAGGTATCCTAAAATATGATTTTGTACATCTTATATATTTACTTGCAAAAATGTAGCCCCTACCAAACTTGCACGCCGTTTAGACATAGGCTTTCATTTGATTTTTTATTTTTTTTTGCCAAGTCCGCATCGGTCGGGCACCCCTCCTCCTCCTTCAGCTCACGCCAGCGAGAAAATGATGGCCCAATGTTGAACCTCGTTCTGCCTTTAACGCGATCACTTTCTCTTTTTCTCTTTTTGCTTTGCTCCGATAAAACTTTTGCTTTCTTGTTTTTCTGTACTGCTTCGGTCATGACTATAACATTTGGCTCGCACGTCCGATTTTAAGGAAGTGGGGGTGGTGGTGGAAGTGACGTAGCCTATATGCCGTAAAGCAGTCGAATTTTGTAGTTCTCTTTGTTCGCCGGTTACTACCCGAAACCCGAAGTTTAAAAGTACGATTAAAAACGCTACAGACCCCGTCAGGCTATGGCAGACGTGTCATTCAACCTATTGTAAGTCGATGTACCATCACAAGAGACTTGGAAATATATTATGAAGGTTGAAAAGTAACCTAGTGCTGCTTAAAAGTAACTTTTTAAAATGTAATTTATTCCTGTGATGGCAAAGCTGAATTTTCTGCATCATTACTCCAGTCTTCAGTGTCACATGATCCTTCAGAAATCAATCTAATATGCTGATTTGCTGCTCAAGAAATATTTCTTCTTATTATATATGTTAAAAACAGTTGTGCTGCTTAATATTTTTGTGGGAATCATGATATATATTTTTCAGGGTTCTCTGATGAAAACTGACAGTACAAACACTTACATTGTTTCAAAAGCTTTTTTTATTTTTATTTTATTCATCAGTTTAATGCATTCTTGCTGAATAAAATGATTAATTTATTTCAAAAACCAACTGACCCCAACCGTTTGAACAGTGCTGTAAAATAATTCATAACTATAATTGATATTAATATTATGATTACGATTAAATACCTCCTAGACTGATTTAAGTCACATCCACAAATCTGCAAGATCCTGAAATATTTTTAGGCGTGACATAGTTCCTCACTGCCAATGTAAATATTTTCCTACTCCATCAGTAGTCCTGAAAGTCCACTGTCTGTCCTGTGATCCTTATATTAGCACAATACAATTAGAGAGTATTTCCGCGGATGGAGGGATGAAGGGATGAAGGGACAGGCTGGACCAGCGAGGAGTGACTCATGGGCTTGTAGTAACAGCGGTTGACGCAGCAGTGTCTCTGAGTGGGGCCATCAATTATTTATGTAGGGAAGGTGGCAGAGTTAAAATGAGACTGAAAGGTCAGTCACCTAAATGCCAGAAAAGACAGAAAGCTAATGATAAATGCTCTCATTAACCCAAACAGCCAATGTGAGCTGAAAGCCAATCACTAACTTTGGTGATGCTACTCTGCGACTCGATTTAAAGAATATCACTGATCCATTAAAACACATTTTGTACCTGCTAGCTATTAGTAGGACTGTTTTTGTTTTAAACAGGACCCCATATGCTGATTAAAACCCATGGCTTGTTGTGGACGGCGTCTACCTTTGTTTAAAATGGCTATAGGTCAAGCAATTTGGTGATACCAGAGTGACAAGAGGGCAGTTCAGATGCTGCTCGCAGAAGTGCCCTTTAAAGCCGAATAAACGCAGGCTGCTCCTGCAATGGCAGCTCTTTGACGCTCATTATGAGCTTGCTGAGTGGTTAAGGCTGTGGTTGAGTAATGGAAAGGTCATAGGTTTGATCTCAGGTTGGACTGGCCTGTGAATTGTGAACTGGTGTTCTGATTGTGTCCATGGCACTTAACCCAGAGAGGATCTCCAGAGAAACTGGGCTTCAGTTAGTCAACTCTGTGTCGCTTTAAATCAAATCCAGCCACTAAATAAATGAAAAGAAACCATAACCTGTTCTGGAGTTTTCAATGGATTATGCTGATGCCGTTTATCTAAAGACCTGTATCTTCTCTTCTCTTCTCTTCTCTTCTCTTCTCTTCTCTTCTCTTCTCTTCTCTTCTCTTCTCTTCTCTTCTCTTCTCTTCTCTTCTCTTCTCTTCTCTTCTCTTCTCTTCTCTTCTCTTCTCTTCTCCTTATTTTTCTTCATCCCTTTTTCGGTCTTTCTTTTTCTTTTGTTTGTCTTTTTCTTTCTTTTCTTTCTTCTTTTCTTTTTACTTTCATTTTTATAATTTTTTTCTTTTTCATTTTTCTATTATTTTTACTTTCATTTTTCTTTCTTTTCTTTTTCACTTTTTTCTGGCTATCTTTTTTTTCTTCTTTTTTCTTTTATTTCACTTTAGTTTTTCTTTTTTCCTTTTCTTTCTTTTTTTCCTTCTTTCAAATCAGGGGTTCTTAGGAAAATTCTGAAGTTAAGCAAACATTTTTTACTATAAATCAAAAAATTATGACTAAACATATTTGTCTTGTCTATGTAATTGAGAACGAACTAGGCACCGTTAATATAATTAATATTTAATAATAATTAATTAATAATATATAATATAATAATAATAATAGTTAATTATAGTAAATTATAGTTGGCATCAAATTGAACTGCAAAAAATGTTTTCAAGCAACAACAAAAAATACACACTTCATTTTTATGACTTAATTTAAGTATGACTTAAAATAATTAAATTAAATGTATTAAATATGTTATTTATATAATTATATTTCTTAAAAATGCACAGCTAATCTAAAGTAAATCAACAAAGCTTTGGCAAAGACGCACAATTGCTAAAACAATTAGAGTTGCCTACATAATCTGTGAAGTCAAGGTAAATGCCATCTCCCCACTGACTACTTTCTCTAACTTTAGCAAATGACACCAAGTGCAAACATCATCAGGAAGTGTGAGTCTAGAGAGTTGCGCAGCTTTTGATGTTATATTGAAAGGTCAAGTGCACATTAGCTCGCCGAAAATCCAAGATTAGAACTAACAACTCATCCGCTCATTATTGTTTTCATCATGAGCCGTTTGACGCTTTATAACCTGGTGCTATAATAGATCGATGTCAGAATGAAGTGACAAGAACACGGCACATTCAAGTCTTCAGGGTTGTTCTGAACCTCTGTTTGATCATTGTTAACAGTTGCTTACAGCTTTCTGCTTGTGGGCAGTTTCTAGGGCATTCAGGATTTGGCTGGTCTTTGATGTTGCTCACTTCTAAAGATGTAGAATATTAGCATCCCTCTTGTGTTCTCTATCTGTGTGTATTCAAAACGGTCCAAAAAAATGAAAAGCTCTCTCAGTTCCTCGGGGGCTAAATTCCTGTGACGTAAAATTCAGCGGGAACAATATAATGACGTCTCGGCCCCGCGGTAGTTTCACCCCAGGTGGCTGGTGCCTTGTTCGTTCTTAATTAGAAACTGTTAAGAGGAAGAGTACAAACAGAAAGAGCACAACTTCTTTTTACACACACAATCTCACCAAGATGACCTTTCCAAAGATGACACTAGCAGAGAAAAGGGCCCTCATGTTCCAGATGACTTGATTTTTATGTGGCACCAGGGATAGGAGGGTGTTGACTTGCGGTTGATGCGGTGGGACAGAGTTGCGGAGCTCTTGCAGCACTTAAAGGGAACCGTGACCACTCTCTGCCTCAGTGGAGACCCTTAGGCTGGGTTTAAGCACCAGCGTCATGACATGATGAAAGCATGAATGAACAGGTAACAAGGGGGAAAAAAGGAAAGAAAAGGAATTACACTTTAATCTTATTAGTTAGTAATATATATATATATATATATATATAACTTAGTTTTTGATAATCGATAAATCTGTTTTTTTTCATTAATCGATTAATTAGATAAAAAATCTAAAAATTATTATACATTAAAAAATGTAAATAATTGTGTTTTAATGCATTATTTTAAACAATGTTATTCCATATCCTGCCCAATGCTGTCCTCCAAACAATGAGTAATATAAAGCCTATGAAAACAAATGACCACAAAAAAGTGTTCAAATACAAACATTACATTCTGACCTTAAAAACAACTGATTTCTTACTATTTTAAAGCACAAATTAAAACGATTAAATTAGAAATGATAATAAACAAAAACAAAAGCCCAAGATGTTAACTTGTAAGAGGTATGAAGAACACACACACCACTGCATATGTGGTTGCGTAGCCACAGATCAGAGTGCCTATGATGACCCGTCCACCGTCGAAAGGGCCTACAATGGGCACGCGAGCATTGGAAGAAGGTCGCCTGGTCCGATGAGTCCGGTTTTCTTTTGCATCACGTGAATGGCCGTGTTTGTGCGCCCCGTTTACCTGGGGAAGTGATGGCACCAGAATGCACTGTGGGACGATGATATCCAGATCTCAATCCAACTTGAGTGTCTGTAGGATGTGCTGGACCGACAAGTTCGATGGACCTCACAAACTTCAAGACTTGAAGGATTTGCTTCTAATGTCATAGTGCCAGATTCCACGGGACAACTTCAGGGGTCTTGTTGTGGAGACCATTCCTCATCCCTCAAACGGGTCGTTCTGTTTTGGCAGCACGCGGAGGACCAACAGCATATTGGGCAGGCGGTCATAATGTTTTGACTCATCTGGAGCAAGCAGAATAATATCTAAATGTTATTGTGTATTCACTGCTGTTCTAGTCGGGTCCTTTGACTGATCTGTAAAAGCAGCTGCCATGCTTCTGATTAGGTCTTTGCAACAGCATGATTATTTTTAATTCCATGAAAATTGATATTAATCAAAAATGTGTATTACGGTTCTCACATAGTCCTTCAGCTTATGCTTTAAGAAATGTCAATTAGCTCAAAACATCGCAGGGAATATTAGATTGGAACAAGCAGGGTCAGAAACACTTCATATATTTCATTATATTCTAGTCTAAGCCTAGTTATGATCCGTTGGCTGAAAATAATCAATTAAAACTACGCTTTTTTCCCTGTTTTCTCAATTAAATCGTGTGTGGAAGGCCACAGTGGGTGTTGCGAGTGGTTTCTAGGGGCATTGCTATAGTTGTTAAGATGCTCAGTGTCTTTTATGCCCGGTGCACACACTGTCCCAGATGAAAGATGAACAATCGTGGTGATTTCTGTGGTCATGGCTCCTAAACGGTGGTCATACGTCGTACAGTGAGAGAGGTTCAAAGACGGCCGTTGTCACGGTCCTGCGACCAAAGACAGCCTGCGATCATTTTCTGACAGTGTCATAAATGTATCATGATCATCTCACAGTGTGTTTGCTGCTACGACCTACGTCCATTGACTAGCCAATAAAAATGCAACATGAAATGGCGTGTTGATCAACGCGACAACTTAAAACTATCCTCAAACTCCATCTGCAAAATGCATGCCAAGTTGGCCTCTTTTTCCTAGCCATGACCATATTCTCCTCTTTCGCTTCCTCCTCTTTTTTTCAACGCACATAAAAAACACAATTGCCAGTGTGATTCATCTTGCTCTATTTGTTTACCACTAGCACATGACGTTTTATTCCTCTGTACTAACTTGCGTCGTAGCCTACGATTCAATGGGTGTCGTCATCGCACAGTTTACATACATGTCATACCCAAGTTTATTAGATCCATGTCGTTCAGAGTGATTTGTAATGATCTTATAGGATTGCAGAAATCGCACAGTCTGTGATTGCTAATGCAGTTTCTATGGTGTTCTACATGGTTAAGTGTTTGCCTACTGGCCCAAGTAAAAAGTGCCAATGGACCTCTATGATGGTCTACGATAACCTGCTCCTTCCTGTAGTTGAATTTGGGTTTCATGTATTTTATCATTTAAAAAAAAAGTCTGATTGCTTAGAAATCTAATAGCATGAGCCACATTTATTTTTTTCCCAACCAAAGTTTAATACTTCAGGTTTAGGGTACTTCAGGTTTGTTCACATCTTTAACCTGAACTATGAGCAATAATATTAAACGGCAATCAGATCATATATTTACTCTGCATTTTTCATATCCCAATAGGACTACATGGATGCCTTGATCTCCAATTACTATGTAAGTGGTCTACCTGACACTTGTTTGTTTTTTTGTTTTTTTATACATTCAGTTCAGTTCTATTTAATGCAACATGTCTTCATTTTTCCAGCTTTGGCCTCCAGTCCAGATAGCCAATTTTTATTTCATCCCTCTCCACCACAGGTAAAGCTCTTTTTGTAATAAATACGAGCCTTTTTAGCCTCAAAAGTCACGTGATCATTGATAATGATAATTCGTCCATTGCAGCAGGGCACTAATCCAACAGTGCTGAAGATTTAAGGGCGTCACTGGGTAAAGAACGTTCACGACGTGCCTCAGAAACCCAGTGTGCAGCACAGCATTATGAAAGGAGTTTAAAGCTGGGAAACTTTAATTAGGCTCTTATTTTTATTTTGACTGTTGGGATTTTTGATGTGTGCATTGTTTGATGTTACTTCTTTTTGGCACCTTAATTTCCGCACTGGGATTAACAACTAGAGTCAGCTGGTCTGTTTTACCTGGATTAAGATTATGTTTTCTGTATTATTCTTTAAAGGCATGAATGGGATATACAGGTCCTTCTCAAAAAATTAGCATATTGTGATAAAGTTCATTATTTTCCATAATGTAATGATAAAAATTAAACTTTCATAAACTTTAGATTCATTGCACACCAACTGAAATATTTCAGGTCTTTTATTGTTTTAAGACTGATGATTTTGGCATACAGCTCATGAAAACCCAAAATTCCTGTCTCAAAAAATTAGCATATTTCATCCGACCAATAAAAGAAGTGTTTTTAATTCAAAAAAAAAGTCAACCTTCAAATAATTATGTTCAGTTATGCACTCAATAGTCAATACTTGGTCGGGAATCCTTTTGCAGAAATGACTGCTTCAATGCGGCGTGGCATGGAGGCAATCAGCCTGTGGCACTGCTGAGGTGTTATGGAGGCCCAGGATGCTTCGATAGCGGCCTTAAGCTCATCCAGAGTGTTGGGTCTTGCGTCTCTCAACTTTCTCTTCACAATATCCCACAGATTCTCTATGGGGTTCAGGTCAGGAGAGTTGGCAGGCCAATTGAGCACAGTAATACCATGATCAGTAAACCATTTACCAGTGGTTTTGGCACTGTGAGCAGGTGCCAGGTCGTGCTGAAAAATGAAATCTTCATCTCCATAAAGCTTTTCAGCAGATGGAAGCATGAAGTGCTCCAAAATCTCCTGATAGCTAGCTGCATTGACCCTGCCCTTGATAAAACACAGTGCACCAACACCAGCAGCTGACATGGCACCCCAGACCATCACTGACTGTGGGTACTTGACACTGGACTTCAGGCATTTTGGCATTTCCTTCTCTCCAGTCTTCCTCCAGACTCTGGCACCTTGATTTCCGAATGACATGCAAAACTGAGCAACAGTCCAGTGCTGCTTCTCTGTAGCCCAGGTCAGGCGCTTCTGCCGCTGTTTCTGGTTCAAAAGTGGCTTGACCTGGGGAATGCGGCACCTGTAGCCCATTTCCTGCACACGCCTGTGCGCGGTGGCTCTGGATGTTTCTACTCCAGACTCAGTCCACTGCTTCCGCAGGTCCCCCAAGGTCTGGAATCGGTCCTTCTCCACAATCTTCCTCAGGGTCCGGTCACCTCTTCTCGTTGTGCAGCGTTTTTTGCCACACTTTTTCCTTCCCACAGACTTCCCACTGAGGTGCCTTGATACAGCACTCTGGGAACAGCCTATTTGTTCAGAAATTTCTTTCTGTCTTACCCTCTTGCTTGAGGGTGTCGATGATGGCCTTCTGGACAGCAGTCAGGTCGGCAGTCTTACCCATGATTGCGGTTTTGAGTAATGAAACAGGCTGGGAGTTTTTAAAAGCCTCAGGAATCTTTTGCAGGTGTTTAGAGTTAATTAGTTGACTCAGATGATTAGGTTAATAGCTCGTTTAGAGACCCTTTTCATGATATGCTAATTTTTTGAGACAGGAATTGTGGGTTTTCATGAGCTGTATGCCAAAATCATCAGTATTAAAACAATAAAAGACCTGAAATATTTCAGTTGGTGTGTAATGAATCTAAAATATATGAAAGTTTAATTTTTATCATTACATTATGGAAAATAATGAACTTTATCACAATATGCTAATTTTTTGAGAAGGACCTATATGTGTAACACATGTATGATTTCTACTGGAGTAATTTGTTCATGCTTGTGTTTTTCAGATTAGCTGTTGTTCAGATCGTGGCTGTTGCCTGGAACTCTTACCTCTCCTGGAAAGCCAATAAGATGTAACGAGATGTTCCAGATCTTCCACTACCTCACACATGGGATTTTTATTTAATTTTTTTAGCAGTTTATCTTTTACAAGTACATATAGTAACATACTCATTCAGTTTACATAGTAGCATAAAGCTAACAAATGTAGTTTGGACAACAAAGGTCAAAGTAGACAATAATGTAATTCAGACTTTTTATTAACAAAATTAATGCTATGTAATATTTGTGATTATAGATTATGTAAAGAATGTATATTGATTCTATACAGTTGATTTACTGTATATGTCTATTTTACCAAAGTTTTGATGGTGAATTATGCTTTATCAAAGGTATAATCAATAAGAACAGCAGGACTGTATGTTACAAAATATGTCTATTTTTTTTCTTTTTCTTTTTTCTTCTGTGGTCATGTGAACTCACGGATGTGACGTATATTACTGGGGCATTGAATAATATGTCAATACACTAATGTGAATAAAATACATCTTTTACAATTGCCAGAACATTATTCATAAAAAACCTCACTCACACCCTGGATCTCTTTGATTAGTTGTTTAATTTTGCAAAGCGCATGACAAATTCAGACAGTAAATGCAAAAGTATGTTTTTTTTTTGCTCAATATCTGTATCTGAACCTTGCAAACCCATTATTAACTCATCCTTACGTCATGTAGCGCGTTTATGAACTGGTGAAATTGGTTCTGTAGATGGTCCATATTTCAAAAGAAACAGCTGACACTGAAAACATGGGCTGAATTTACTGTTTTCCTAGCACAATGTTGAAAGACCCTGTTCTTTGCTGCCCTTGCCAATAGGATGTAGGGCGGCTGTTCCTCAGCTTGACTGCAATTCACAGCTTCAGCCTGCAAATCAGATTTTTAAATTGTGAACAAAGCTGTCACTGGATAACCAGTGTATCTGCTAATTGTCATCCTTCCAAAAACATTAAATCACATTAAGAAATATATTGGCTTTATTATTTGTCCCTTCTCACTGATGAGGAAGTTAAAACCATGTTTAGGAATTTCCTTTAGAGAGAGTGTCAGGCTTATATAATATAAATATCTTTGTCCAGTTAATGCTGCGTCACTGGGGAATTGACGGCTAGCCAGAAACAATACTCAACAGTGACTAAACCTCTGCATCTGGCAATTGAACACATTTTTTCTCAGCCACGCTTTAAAACATTATCTTTTTACAGTCACAATTTTTTTTAATTCATGACCATGTGGTGTATTTTTTATATTATTATTATTGTCAGTATTATTATTTACAGAGCTTAACTTGAATTATATGGTAAAGTTCTCAAATGTAGGTTATTTATATTGTGAATATGGCTTATATAGCCTACTATAACTCTAGCTTGTTCTTACAATGTTTCTAAATCCTTATAACTTTATAGGCTATTTGAAAAAATATTTGTATGTGTTCTTAAACAGTCATATTGCAACGTAAGATGTGAAATTTATCAAAAGATTAACAGTTTCTCCATTACTGTTGCAATATATATATTCTACGTTTGTTTGTTTGTTTATATATATATATAAACAAACGTAGAAACACTTCACCCAGTATAGACAGAAACACGCAAAGAAATGGTTTTATTGTAATATAATGAACCAGTGAGGTCTGGCTGCGTCTTGAAGAATTTCAGCACCTTGGACAGAGTCTCGTGTCCCCGTCGCGCGCTTCTGCTCTCCTCCTGACCACAAATGACCATCCATGCAGAAATCCATCACGACAGCTCACTTTGCTCAGGTGCATTCAAAAAACAAATATTTTGATAGTCAAAAGTATCACCATCCACTGATCACCTGTCTGTTCCAACTTCGGATACATTTTCTTTGAAAGTTCATGACTTTGCAACGGCATCAAGATCATCTTTGCTGATTGAAAACTTCAGATGCTGAAAAAAAAAAACCCGCCTCACCTTGTCCTTCGGATCTACAGCACCTTTACTCCACTCTTCCTTCCAGTTCAGAATTGCCTCATTTACAAGCAGTTTATGCAGCTCCACTGACGTCAATGGAGCGGTGTGTGATGTATATAACCATTGAGCTACAGGAGCTCCACTCCAGTCTGTCTGCAAACACTCTTCCTCACAAGTACCTTTGAAGCAACAGAAGACGATCGAGTAAGTTACCTTATATGACTTGCTTTCAACTTCTTGACTGAGGCCATTCAAGCTTAGGTTCGAGAACGAGATCGTAGTGTTTATATTGTACAGGACTGTCATTATTGTTCATTCATTGAACTGATTGTTTGGATTTCTTCAAGATTCGGTTTATCTGTCTATCAGAGTAGATTAGGTATTATTATAATATTAGTTGACGGTTTTTTCTCGTTTTTAATTAAAACACAACGGTGTGTACAAATAGGCTAGACGTTTACTGTGATATTGACGATCATCATAGTTATTAAACCGTGGACCAGCGATTTAAATGTCTTGCTTTATAAACGAGTTACAAACTCTTTTAACTCTTCACCGGTATTGTTTGATGTACGACTTACAACTTTGTATATATTAATACTTTTATATTAGCCTACATAATACAAAAAAAATCTAATTTATATTTTAAAAATGAACCTTTTGTAATTATTTGTGGAATTAACATCAATACTTGGGGGGAACGTTTGTCTAAAAATCTAAATGTTTTAAAGAATTCTCAAAATGTATCTATTATTTTTTTATAATCGATAGCCTACTTTTATAGAAGTCTATTTACTACAAAAACGAACTTTTTTTCTTTGTTTTGGCCTAAGCTTTTTTGATTTATTTATAATAACTCGTTTGCTAATGTCAGTTTTGTCATCTATACTACTAATAGCCTACTTAAAACAGCAGAAAGTATTTTCATTGTCAGCATGTATTAAAGTTTTGTTTTGATGTGAAGTAACACACCTGTTTTCCTCAGGAAGCGCGCGGCTGTGTCCAGCATGAAGCCCGTCCCTTTGGTCCTGCTCATTACTTCAGTCTTACTGACCACCCACATCCCGCTGAGCACCTGTCGACCCCGCGAAATGAGCTTTATGAGCAGCCAGCTAGACGACGTGCTCCTAAACAGGGCTGGAGACGACGCCGTGTCGTTCCTGCTGGGCGAAAAACTCCTTCAGTATTTGCAGAGAACCGTCGGAGCGCAGAAAGCAGGTGGTGTCCTGCATCTCCAGCACTTCCCCACGGCGCAGCTGCGCTCTCCTCACGAGGACAACAGCTTAGAGGAGTTTTCCAAACGGAACGACGACCCTCCGATCTCCATCGACCTCACCTTCCACCTGCTGAGAAACATGATAGAAATGGCGCGGAACGAGAATCAAAGGGAACAGGCGGGACTCAACCGCAAATATCTAGATGAGGTTGGGAAGTAGCTGTAGTTCAACGATGATGCTTTCAATCGGCGAGTAAAGAACAAGCTCAATGCACTCTTTCACACCCCCAAAACTCTCGCTAAAGCATAGGCTACGACATTCACCGATGCCTCCTGCTCGACCCACACTCTTAGAAATAAAGGTTCTTCAGTGGTTCTTTGGTTCAGCAAATAACCTCCTTTGTCGTTGTTGAGTTGGCTGTGGTTTTTTGGAGATTAAAAAAACAAAACAAAAAAATCATCTTCAAATCAGGCTATTGGTTTGTGGGTTCTTTAAACCAACCCGGCTTGAAGAACTACAGAATAAAAAAGTTCTTCAAAAAGGCTCTCTTGTGGCATCAGGGTTATGTGGAACCTTTATTTTTAAGAGTGGCATCCATCTGTTAGCCAGAAGAGTTTCTGGTGACCTGCTGCTGTCTCCATGACCTCTGGACCATTTCAGAACTCGGGAAACCACATGCAAAAGCCACAACAGACCAGTTCAGGACCTCTAAATGCTGTGCAGGAGGGTTCATATGTTACCAAATCAATCAATCTACAATTGACTGGTACCCTTTTAGTGTTTAAAGTTATTGGCCTCCTTATTAGTGTTATGAATGGAAGAAGTACAGTACTACTAAACTATTACAAATCCTATTATTGCTAATTCTATAATATGGTTTTCGTCAGATGCTCACTGTCCACGTGTAAACGGGCCACTGGACGTGTGGGTCGTTTTTGTATGGCTGGTTTGGTTGCAACCTCTTACTTTGCCAACGGGAGTGTTCTCATGACATAAAATGCTATACTTTGGTAATAATGCCAATATAATCCCAGATGCTCACTGTATAAGTGCAAAAGTATGTTATCCTAACATGGTGGGAAACAATGATCTTTGCACTTCAAACCAAGAGGCTAACCCACGTTTGTGACAATAATGTTGGACAATATTACAAAGTGCTAGAGATATACTGTACATTGTATATTGCTTATCATTATGTAAATGACATGCACCTAAATGCATAAACATGACTTTGTATTTTGAACATGAATCTGCAGAAATAAATGAGACTACATGCCTTTTACAAGTAACTGCAAACATGTAAACCTCAAGTGGTAATGATCACAGCAGACACGGGTTGAATTAACAATACACAAAACATAAAAACACAAAGTGGTGAGTGTGAGATGTCACAATGGAAATTACTCTATGCTCTTTTGAAATGTTAAATGCATATCATGAATTGAAGGGCTGTAACGGTAATAATTCCAAAAGCCTTTTTTTCTTTCTTTTTTTTTTACATGTGATACTAATGGTTGAGCTAGGTATAGAGTTTCAATTCAAATGAATCATTAATCATTATTTTGAAATAAGGTTGGGTGTATTTGTAGATAAATACAGAAATATCAGCCCATGTTATACACATCATTCACCACTTTTAATGAAAACACAAAGTGAAAAAAATGAAAAATATTGATGAATAGATTACCAACAAAAGAATGCAAAACAATATATCATTTGGACAACCCACACATGTTTTCTGGTTTCATACGTTCTCTAACTTTAAGTGGTATCAACTCTGCTAAAGTTATGTGATCCAAAAAGACCAAAAGCTGCATCATAAACACAGTTTTAAACATCCAGAATGTAAAAGCTATGAATACATTTGTAATTCCTCTCACTGAACTATAGCTCAGAGTCTTAGGGCCACAAAATGCCAGATGAAAGAAGCTCTTGCCATGTTGAAAGGATTAAATAAAACCTCCTCCTTATAGTCTCTCTTAAGTCAGTACAGGAAATACCCTGGAAATGAAAAATAAAATATATGAGTTAAATCTTTCATAATCTTCCACTTACACTCAGTCTATTTTAGTCATAAATGGGGCAAGTGGGAGAGGACAGTGTGTGATTTGCATTGGCAAGAACATATGTTGACTGAACACACTTGTTTTTAGGACGTGTCATTGTGCACAACGTGTTACATAAACTGTTTTTTTAGCCATTTAAGCATACAATAAAGAAAGGAAACTCTAAATGATATATTAAGCTCAAGTAACGGTTAAACAAGTCGCATCTCATCCCGCAGATTGCCTCTTCATCCTGCTTCTGACACCCGCAAAAAAAAAAAAAAAATCTTTTTCTAGGAAAAATTGCAGCTTTAAATTACGCGAAGGCAGGTACATCAGCTTGTGACGCACCACGTCCTCAAAATAAGATCCATCCTCATTCCGAGTGGACACACTCCATGTGTGGTGTAGTTCTGCACACACTTAGACCGAATGCTGCTTCTCCAAATGACTCTTTCCCTCTCCTTCCCTCCATGAATTGATCAGTGAGCTGACAGCACGAGTGACAAGGTCAGCGTCCGTGAGCACGTCATATATCTCCACTGCCATATATCCATAGCTGGTGGCACAGAGACGAGCGGTTATTAAGTAATGGGTGGAAGTGGACTCACGGCTCCAGCACAGGTGGGGGTGGATGGACCATCAGAAGCCAAGAGGTAAAAGATGCAGAGTGCCTGCCACTGCGATTTAGCCCTGTTCTCAACGCTGCACTTACTCAATGGACACAGTCTTATTAGATCAGTAAAGTGCCAGAGAGAAAGCCGCATGCTGTCCTGGCCCACGCTGCCCGATTTAAAGAGGTTTCTGACCTTTAAATTGAAGTAAGAGGAACGGTTATTTCAAGAAAGCTTGCAGAGATGGGGATGCCCCTGCATTACAGGATACCCACCTCTTAAAGAACAGGATACGTATTTTGTGCAAATACTATTTTTCCAAGTTGTATAAAGCATGAATCTTTGAAACAACTTTTACACCTTGGTTGGTAAGTTTTTACTATTTACTCACACACTCCTAAAAATAAAGGTTATTTACTGGGATCTATGGTTCCATGAAGAACCTTTAACATCCATGGAACCTTTCCATTGCACAAAAGCTTCTTTAGATTATTAAACTGTTCTTTACTCCAAGAAAAAAAATGGTTCTTTTAAGAACTGTTTATTGAAAGGTTCTTTGAGGAACCAAAAATGGCATCACTGTGAAAAACCCATTTTAGAACCATTATTTTTAAACGTGTATATGCTGTACAATAAAAGGATGAATTAAGCATTATGATCACACTGTTGTCTGTACAATTAAAGTGAATGGGCACCAGGGGTTGTCATGCTCCAAAAATGACAAAAAAGCACATTAAAGGTACAGTAAGCAATTTCTGAGAAATATATATTGATATCTGAAATCAACCCAAATAAACACACCCAAAAAACAAGCGTTGAGAGTGGCCCATTGTGGTCCATTTGCAATTGGCGCAAGGGCCCAGAAAGCACGGGGCCCCGTGCGGTTGCACTGCACCACCCTAAAGATGGCCCTAAACACACACCCCTCCCTTCATTGCTCCGCCCCCAAAACGCATGAACATGAGTGGATGTCTCTTTATCAAGATAATGCAAGATAATGCTTCACGAAAAATAAAGCGAAGATGACGAACGAGAAGGAAGAACAAAATGAACATACTATACATGATGATAGCTCCAGACAAACAATTACACCCAAACCTGTTCTGTTATAATAGCAAACATTACAACAACAGAATATCTTGGTTCTGTGAAACATAGCAAAGCCAATAATACTCATGTGTGGAGCTGAAACAACGCAACCTCGGCGACCTTTTTCAGGCTTTTCGGTAACGCTTTAGATTACAGCCCGGAAAGTACTGTGTAATTAAGAGGAATTTACAGAGTAACTTTCGGTAAATATAGTGTACCTATAAAGTATTGCATGTAAGTATAAGGGAACAATATGTAAAGTTTGGGGAATAAAGGGGTAACAACCAGGAGAATTAAAAAAATATTTATACTGTAAGTATAGAACTAAGGGGAACTTATTCTACTATTATGATACAACAATCTTACATTTGGGAGCAATTTAGCGAGAACACTGCGTACCTTTTTGTAATAATTGTGTACCAATACATACTGTAGGCTTTTTTTAAATTACAGGGTACATATCTATGCATTTATACTTTTATTTATTTATTTTTTGATAGCAAAAGTGCAGATGTTTAAGTTGGGCTAACATGTTTCAAGGCAAGAAACGCTAAGACTATTGCAATTTTTTTTAAATACTGGGAAATATATCTTGTTTCATGTGGTTACAGGGTAAGTGGTAGCCTACTCGTATAATAAATAAAGGTTTCCGAGTCAGTGATATAAGATTGTGTGTATGCATTTTTATTGTTACCCTGTAACTACATGGAACAAGAGGGTAACAAGCACCACTTTAATTTACAGCCCGCAATGTCATACTTACCCTGTAACTACATCGAACAAGAGGGTAACAAGCTACATGAAACAAGAGTATCTTTCCACAATATTTAAGCAAAAGTTGCAATAGTTTTCGTTTTCAGTGCACTTTTGTTAAAAAGACATTTTAAAAATTACAGGGTACATATCTATGCATTTATAAAGGCTATACAGTATGTACTGGTTCACCATTATTTCAAAAAGGTACGCAATATATGTTCTTGCTAAATTGATCCCAAATGTAAGATTGTTATATCATAATAGTAGAATAAGGCCTACCCCTTAGTTCTATAATACTTACAGTATAAATATTTTTTTTATTCTCCTGGTTGTTACCCCTTTATTCCCCAAACTTAAAATATTGTTCCCTTATACTTATATTGTAAGTACATTACACTATAATTACCGAAGGTTACGCTGTAAAATTGCTTTAATTACGCAGTACTTTCCGGGCTGTAATCTAAAGCGTTACCGGCTTTTCTAATATGGGTCCTAAAGCTCTTCCCTGATCATGACCCTTCTTTTTTCAGTGATGTTCCCCTGACCTTTTTATTTTTGCAATGTCTCTCAGCCATCTCTCTTTCTACAGTCTTTCTTCAAATCTCCCTCTTGCTCACTCTCTGTCCTCCCCAATCATGAGTGGACGCCCCCTACTGCTGATTGGCTACAAGTGTGTTGGGGTGCTCAGTCTGATTCACTTTCAACAGCGTTTCTCAGAAATCGCTTACTGCACCTTTAAACATATGCCCAATATTCCAAGTCCTCTGAAGCTGCATGAAGGCTTGAAAAAGAGGCAGTGAGAAAGAGATTTAAATTTAAATCAAATGATCTTGACAAGCAAAGATGCATCGACTGAGAATTAATGAAGAGATTCAGAAGGGGTAATGATTTCATATAAGCACATGGAGTCATAAGAACAACTTTCATTGACTTTTAAAGTGATTTTTGTCATTTTTGGAGCTCAACAGCTCCTTACAAATAAAATGTCTTTATTGGCATTGATGGTTCCATGAAGAACTTTCCATTGGACAAAAGGTTCTTTATAGTGGAAAAAGGTCCTTTGTATTATTAAAATTTTCTTCACATTTAGAAAAAAACATATTTTTATATTTCACATTAAGAAAATGTTTTACATTTCACATCACCTCTCCATCACCTATGTTTTTCACACTAAAAAAGCAAACTGTATCAGATATAAAATTATTAAACCAAGTGGCTTCTGCAAACAAATGATACTAAATGATCTTTTCTCAGCCATTTGCAATTTCTTAATAACTGGTGATTTTATAGGTGATTTTTATGTATAGGTTCACACAGGTGGAGTGCATCACATCAACATTTCACCAGATCCAAATGTTTATGGACCCCTTACAGAGACTGTAGTCAGCAAATTTTTAATAGAGTTTGATAGGAGATGACGAGTGTACTCAACACAATGAGTGCCACTGTTGCCAAAAATGTTCACGTCACAGGATGAGATGTCTGCATGATCTGCCAGATTCACACTAATAGAGAAGAGAAACACTTTAACCCTGTAAAGCCTGACATATGAAATAATAGTCAGAAATTCTAATGTTTTAAATAGGAAAAGTTTATTAAACTTTTAGACAAAATATTTAAAAACATCTAAATAAATAAAAACCTTTGCAGGTGTGTTTCGCTGAGTATCATATTTAATACATCAGGCTTTTATAGCTCATATAGTATGATATAGAAGAATATAAAGCTCATATTTAAGGAGGAAAAACACCTTAATTTTATTCAGACGGCCAAACTGAGCAATTTGGTGCAGATGCTGATATTTATATGGGCAAAAAATAAGATGACATTCTGATAGCTTGTAATGTAAATCAATGAGATCTTTATAACAGTATAGCAGACTACTTACATAAAATGCATATACAGTAAATAAACATCAATTGTCACTTTAGATCTCCCGATAATGTAAGATGATATTTAAATGGTTAGTTTTAAAATCAAAGCTCTGTAATTTTTATTGTGGGGGCAAAACATATAATGCTATGCAATACAACGATGATCGAGAAATGTACACACGAACCTTCATCAAAAGCCTGATGTATCATATTTGATACATGTTAACATGTTTTTTTTTTTTTATGATGAATGGATAAGCAAGTAAACCTAAGTTGCTTCAGTCCAATAAGTATTCATCCTAATATATTACTAACAATATAAAAGTTATTCTTACGTTTACTGAATAAAAATCAGAAAAGATTTCACAGCAAAAAGACACATGTACCACAACCTTAAGGAGGACATTTATAAAATTACACTACAAATTTCAGAAAAAAATCCGTTCATATAGTAGATTGTGCTCAACAAGATGTTGATCATTTAAAAGCCTTAGAAATGTGTGTATCAAATATGATACAGTAGGCTTTATAGGGTTGGTTAAATGGTTTTCAGACCATCATGTACCAATGTTAGAACATTGGAAAAAGTACAAATAAATAAATAAATAAAGGCTAATTCCCTTAAAGGACTTTTGACTTGCTTTCATTTATGGAGCACAAGAGAACATATTTTGAGAAATGTCCTTTTATCCATCCAAGCCAATGGGCTCCAAAGTTGTTTGGCTCCCAATGTTCTTCAAAATCTCTCCTTTTGCGTTCCACAGAAGAAAGAAACTCATACAGGTTTGGAACGACATGAGGCCATGCAGAATTTTTTGGGTGAACTATCCCTTTAAGGCCATGATTTCATCTTTGAAACTAACCTTGGGTTTAAAAACAAGTTAGCATCTCCCTGATTCACCACTCTGACCAGGTGAGTTGGTCAGGTCTTCAGGAGCTTCATTACTGCCGTCTTCTCCGTCTTCACCTGCAACAAAAGTATGTTTCATCACTAAATACATTGCAATGCAACTTCAACTTACCAATGCAAATAACTGGACATATGAGAAAGATGATGTCATCATAGGTGTGAAGCCTTTACCTGATTGGAAGTCAATGCCTCTCAGCATGTCGGCCACATCCTCCGTGTTGATGGTGAAGTGGTCCATGCTCTCAAAGCCTGCCTCCGTCTGCTCAATGTTGGTGGCCTTGGCAGTATCTGTGATCCTGTCAAGGACAGAGCGGTGAAGTTGCTCGGACAAATATAAAAGTGACGGATAGCGTTAGGTCCCAGTTCCTCCGTCTCCCCGTGGCTGCTGGTGACGCAGGTGCACGAGGCACCACTCGCAGTCTCCGCAGGTGGAGGGTAGCATGAAACATAAGACACAGCTAGACAGTGTTGTAAGCGTAAGCATTTTTCGAAACAGTTAGAGGTTTTGGGGGGAAATGTGATGAATGCTGATTCATACGTTATTGCGCACGCTGCATAAAGTTTCATTTTGCAAAGAAAAGTTGCTTTTGGAGGCAATTAGCTAGCAGCATCAATGGAAGACTTGCATTTACGGAAGGAAATACCTGTGAAGATCTCAACGTTGAACGCTCATGTCATTCAACTTGCAAATCATATTTTCCCAAATATGCTCAAAGTAAACATGTTTTTTCCACTATTACCGCCATTTCTAAATATGTGGTTACAGCATTGTAAAGTGCCAGTTATTTATTACTATAATTTGAACAGATAAATGTGCCCCAACAAATGGCACATTATAAAAAAAGTTAATAATCCATGACCATTTCTCTTAAAAAATGTTTTTTAATCTGTTACATAAAAAAAAAATAGGGTTGAATGGCCAAAATGGCTATATAGACTTACAAAATCGCAACATATTACATTATTTTCAACTTTTTGTAGAGAAAAAAAATCTGCATTGATTTTTCCCATAGCAGAGTTGAAATATTGTGCTTGACAAGGAAATGATAAAAGTAATCCTCAACTAGTAAACAATGAAATACTGATAAAGACTAAGAGAAAAATAGTCAGCGTAATTCACTGATGGATTTTACATTTTAATCTTACATTTCTTTTAACATACACAGTTCAAAGGTTTGGAATCAGTAAGATTTTTTGTTTACACTTTATTTAGACATTCTACTAACCATAAGTAACTTTGCAGATACATGTCAACTACCAGTCAGTTGAGTAGTAGACTGTTAGGTTATAGTTAGATGTTAGGGTTCGGGTGAGTAGAATAATTTGACATGTACTGACTGCAAAGTTACTTATAGTCAGTAGAATGTCTGTTGGGGGAGCATTAAAAAAATGTGCTAGCAGATAAGAAATGAATACTTATATTCAGCAAGGACACATTACATTGCTTAAAAGTGGCATTAAAGACATTTATGTAACAAAAACAAAAGAAGCAGCAAAACTGTTTTAACATTGATAATAATAAGAAATTATTCTTGAGCAGCAAATCAGAATATTACAATGATTTCTGAAGGATCATGTGACTGAAGACTGGAGCAATAATGCTGAAAATTCAGCTTTGCCATCACAGGACTAAATTACATTTGAAAATACATTTGAATAATACAGTGGGTCCACAAAACTCTAAACATTAAGCGTTTGGAGCTGAATTACACGCAGAAGTCAGAAGATAAATAAGTGGTAGTATGAGGGATTTCAATAAATCCAGAATCTTTCCCACAATATTGATGTAGATGAATATTATGAACCAATGCATAATACAGTGGGTTGCTAGGGGTGGGAGGCTGGTTGAGTCATTGTCTGTGATGTTGTTAATCATGATTGTTAGTCTTTAGGAGGCATCAGATATTGATGAAGCACACATGCTGAATATGGTTTAGTTTAAAGGGACAGTTCAACGTAAAATGAAAATTCGGTCATCAAGAAAGTCATACACGACATGTAACATGATAACAGAATTTTTTATTTTTGGGTGAACTATCCCTTTTAGACACTTCAAAACACATCACTCATAGCTGACTTACTTCTTGAACACTTCTTTTGCACTCTGTGAACACAGCAAAGAAGAACACTCGTTTAAGGACGAGAGGATTCGGCAGCAGATTAAAACATAAAACCCCCAGTCCTCTTCATCATAGTTTCATGCGCACATACTAAATCACAGACACTTGTTAGGCAGCCTCCTTTGACACTCTGTTTGCACTGAGAAGTGCTAGTTAAAAAGAGCAGCGCTGCCTGCACCTGATGCTTTATAGTGAAAGCTGTTTCAAAAAACAATTTCACCTCTCCATCACCTATGTTTAAAGTCTCTTTCTGCAGAGTGCAGCTCTCAGCCATGGTGAAGTATTGACCGTTCGAGCCACTAGTCAAAGGACAGGGGTCTGGGTTCCTACGTCCCCAGTTGTGGGAGGTTTTGGCTAATCAATGCCAGCCCCCCTCCATGGGCCTTGTCATTAAAGGATGCTTTAAATGTAGCAACAGGCACAGTGTCGATCAGCAAACAGCATAAGCAAGGGCTGGGTCATTTGCATCAAGCATCTCTGGGGGCTCTGAAAGCAACCAGCTCTGCCCCTGTTGCAGCATTAGCTCCACGCAGCTCAATAAGTCCACGTCACATACACAAGCACCTGTACCGCCAGAGGTTTGCGTGAGTTAGATGTAGAAAGAGATCATTTAAGACAAGGTAATGTCTGTAGCTTTGCAAACTACAGGGAAAAAAAAACAATGCACTGGTCAATTATGAGATTTTGGGCTATTTGGCTTTCGATAACATTGTTTCAGACTAGTGGAATGAAAAACTTTTTTACACTATCTATTTGCATCTGTAGGTTTCAAGTACAATACATATCTTAAAAGGCCGTTTTCCACTTCATTAGCACTTTTCAGTTTTATTTATTTTTACATATTTATGTTCCAGGGGCGAGTCTCCTCAAAAAAATTGGACGAGAAAATAATCGATATTAGGCCTACAAACAAAAAAATTACAAAATATGACATTAAAAAGGTCTCTCGTGCCTCCCCTGAGCCTATTGACTTTTAACAGACCCCTTAAAGTGTGCGCTGGGTTTGGTGGGGGGTAATTGAGAATGAATGGGGGGGAAGTAACGTGAGAGGAGGCAATCTCAGCTGCCCTGCCCACAGAGCTCACCACAGACAGACTGTGACATACTAGAACTGCTCCAAGTTTCAGCTCCCAAGGACGACTTGTTAGAAAACCAGGACAGCATTTTACAGCCTCCAATAACACCAGAGAAACAGCCCCTCCAGCCTCTACCCTCTCACCAGACACGTTATCCCTATCTCCAGCATCTCCACAGCATCTTCTGTGCTTCTCAGAGAAAATGGAAAAACTGGTGTTTGCTGGAACCAAACTATCTGCAAGCCCCCAGACATCAACCAAAAAACGGCAGGCCCCAAAACCACGAAAGCCTGCGGGCCCAGCTCGCTCTCCGCTTGTGAGAGCTCTTCGGCCTCTGCAAAAACGCCAGGGCTCACACCCTCCTCTATCGGCTCGAGGTGAACCAAAAACAACTGATACCAGCTCTCAGTGATATGTGCCGGGTGCCCGCTATGAAAACAGTAACTTTCTCAAATGTTTACAGAACAAGCGGGAACCCAGTGTGCCTGTATCTTTCTCTATTGCTGTTCGATTACATGATAGAAAGTCTAAGGCCTTCAAAAGCCGTACAGCAAACCCATCTAATCTGGTGCCTATTACACGCCAAACTAAGACAAAAGTAACAAAAAGTAAGACTGTTAAGTTAGCACTATTAAACATCCGCTCACTTAAAAATAAATCACTTCTAGTCAATGACTTAATAACCACATACAACCTGGATTTTATGCTTCTAAATGAAACTTGGCTAGAAGACAGCTGCAGTGCAACAGTCCTCAATGAAACATCCCCTCCTAACTTTACTTTTATGAGTGTCTGCAGAGCAGGTAAGAGAGGTGGAGGAGTAGCTACTCTTTTTAAAGATGTCTATCAATGTAAGCAAACATCATTTGGTAACTACCCCTCTTTTGAATATCTGGGTATTGTGTTAAAAGGTGCCCCACGCATTTTACTTATCATTATTTACAGGCCTCCAAAATACTCTCCAGCCTTTGCTGAGGACTTTACAGAACTGTTATCAACAATTTCCTCAGAGTTTGACTGTTTTGCTATTACTGGAGATTTTAACATTCACATAGATAATGATACAAATATGGCAAAAGAAATCAAAACTGTTTTAAAAACTTTTGATCTGATTCAGCATGTACATGGACCCACACACAATCGTGGACACACTCTAGATTTACTTATCAGTAAGGGTCTAAACATCTCATCGATTGTTATTAAGGATGTAGCACTGTCTGATCATTTCTGTATTTTCTTTGATATATTGATCTCTCCTGCCATTGAAACTAGATCTGTGTCTGTCAAGAAGAGATGCTTAAATGAGAACACTAGTGTGCTATTTATGAAGGCCATATCTTTAAAACCAAGCATATCTGCTGACTCTGTTGATTTTCTCCTTGATTCTTTTAACTCAAAGGTTAAAGGTGTAATAGATTATATTGCTCCTGTGAAAGTCAGGAAGAGTGGTAGACAAAAAGCACCTTGGAGAAACTCAACAGCGGTGCAAAATATGAAAAGAACATGCAGAAAAACAGAGCGCATGTGGCGGAAGACAAAACTTGTAGTCCATTATAACATCTACAAAGACAGCATCCATGCTTTTAATATTGAACTAGGCAAAGCTAGACAGACTTTCTTCTCAAATATTATAAACAGCAACTTAAACAACACACGCACTCTTTTTGCTACTGTAGAGAGACTGACAAACCCCCCAAGCCAGATTCCCAGTGAAATGCTCTCAGACGGCAAGTGCAGTGAGTTTGCTTCTTTCTTCTCTGAGAAAATTAAGAATATCAGAAAGGTGATCAGCACATCATTGAGCCGCACTGGGGTCAGACAGATCAGACCACAACCTGAGAAAGTAGTTACTATGTCTGTTTTCGAAGAAATTGATGGCAAAATTTTGGAAGAAACCGTACAGCACCTTAAAACATCAACCTGCGCCCTTGACGCACTTCCCACATCTTTCTTCAAAAGTGTGTTAAACAGTTTAGAAGCAGATCTCCTAAAAGTGGTTAATGCCTCACTTCTTTCTGGTAGTTTTCCAAACTCCCTGAAAACTGCAGTTGTCAAGACCCTCCTGAAAAAGAGCAATCTGGATAAGACTATATTAAGCAACTATAGACCGATCTCAAATCTTCCTTTTATAGGCAAGATCATTGAAAAAGTTGTCTTCAATCAGCTGAACAAATTCTTAATCTCGAATGTATACTTTGACAATTTTCAATCTGGTTTCCGATCGCATCACAGCACAGAGACAGCTCTCATAAAGATAATAAACGATATTCGCTTAAATACTGATACAGGGAAATTATCAGTGCTGGTACTACTCGACCTCAGTGCTGCATTTGACACTGTCGATCACGACATACTACTTGACAGGCTGGAAAACTGGGTTGGGGTTTCTGGGATAGTCCTAAAATGGTTCAGGTCATACTTAGAAGGGAGAGGTTATTATGTGAGTATAGGAGACCATAAGTCTGAGTGGACGTCTATGACATGCGGAGTCCCTCAAGGCTCAATTCTTGCACCACTCCTGTTCAACCTATATATGCTCCCAATGAGCCAAATAATGAGAAAGAACCGAATCTCTTACCACAGCTATGCAGACGACACACAGCTCTACTTAGCCCTATCGCCTAACGATTACAGCCCCATTGACTCCCTGTGCCAATGCATTGATGAAGTAAACAGTTGGATGTGCCAAAACTTTCTTCAGTTAAACAAAGACAAAACTGAAGTCATTGCGTTTGGAAACAAAGATGAAGTTCTCAAGGTGAGCGCATACCTTGACGCTAGGGGTCTAACAACTAAAAATCAAGTCAGGAATCTTGGTGTGTCTCTAGAGTCAGATCTTAGTTTCAGTAGTCATGTCAAAGCAATAACTAAATCAGCATACTATCATTTGAAAAATATTGCAAGAATTAGATGCTTTGTTTCCAATCAAGACTTAGAGAAACTTGTGCATGCTTTCATCACCAGCAGGGTGGATTATTGTAATGGACTCCTCACTGGCCTTCCTAAAAAGACCATAAGACAGTTGCAGCTCATACAGAACGCTGCTGCCAGGATCCTGAGCAGAACCAGAAAACATGAACACATCACACCAGTCCTCAGGTCTCTACACTGGCTCCCAGTTACATTTAGGATTGACTTTAAAGTATTATTACTGGTATATAAATCTTTTAATGGGCTAGGACCTCAATATATTGCAGATATGCTCACTGAATATAAACCTAACAGATCACTCAGATCATTAGGATCAAATCAGCTAGAAATACCAAGGGTTCACTCTAAGCAAGGAGAGTCTGCTTTTAGCTATTATGCCAGCCGCAGCTGGAACCAGCTTCCAGAAGAGATCAGATGTGCTCCTACAGTAGTCACATTCAAATCCAGACTCAAAACACATCTGTTTAGCTATGCATTTACTGAATGAGCACAGTGCCACTGTTCGTCGAACTGTTTTTACTGTACTTTATTTTTTTATTCTAAACTGTTTTAATTATTCTTATTTGTTTTGATTATTTTAATTTCTTCTATGTAAAGCACTTTGAATTACCATTGTGTATGAAATGTGCTATATAAATAAACTTGCCTTGCCTTGCCTTGCCTTGCAATGATTGGATATGATCTGTTATGGCTGGATATGATTGATTTGTGCGATAAATCCTGCATCTTGTTTTCGTTCGCGAATGGGCCTAAATGACTAATTAGAAAAGTAAGTAAACAACTCACCCACTTAGATTATCACTGCTTTGTCACGAAGAACAGCTGAACTGCATTTTACAAATAAAATATATTGTTTAAATTGTTACTGCCTTTAGTTATTATTTTGGAATAAATGTAAAAATGCGTAAAAACACTAACTTGATGAGATTTATACTTGGTTTTAATAACTAGAACAATAATTATATAGTGTAAAAATACAAAATAGAATTGTATTTGGTCTTTATGTAATGTTTATTTAACCAGGAAAATGTACAAACTACATGCAACAGGGACACAAATTTACATTATATATATATGTTTTTTAAAAAACTGTGAGGACTTTGCCTCCTCATTTTAAAACACCACTGCAAGCCACTGGTTTATTCATATATCATTCAACTGATTTTCTGCAACATTTTATTCCTAAAAACGTGGTGAAAATGTATAATCTTTTTCTGGCTGTTGACAGTATTTTATGATTTATGCAGTGATAAAAAGAGATAACCCCTCTGTAAAAAACTTTAACTCTTAATTTGTTGACAAATTTTTTTTGAACCTGATAGATAGACAGACAGATAGATAGAATTTGTACCTGCAGAAACACAGCCATCTGAGGTTCCTCCATGGACTGGACGGCTGTTTCCACCAGTTTGATGGACATCTCTAAGTGGTCTCCTTGGAGACGGATAAGGGAGCGAACATGGCCTAGTTTTTGGTCTTGCTCACGGCCGACAGTCTCTACTAGTTCCCTTTTACGCTCTTCTAGGATGGCAAAAAGTTCATCAAACTTATCAGAGATGTGCTGCTTCTGTCGACGACCATTTTCCTACAAAAGATTACCAGCGACTGTTTTAGTTTGAAGTAAATAGTAAAAAAAAAAAAATTGTAAATACATTTTTTAAATATTTACAAATCATCACTGTCTAGAGATGGGCAATATAGCAAAAAATTCTCTCTCGATGGATGGATGCATTTTTTTTCAGGATACTTTTGTAACATTATAAATATTTGCCCTAAAATGGCTTAAAATTGCGAATCAGAGGATCCATCATTTTAACTAAACAGCCACTGCAGCCAAAGAAGATTCAAATGTTTAATGCAAGAAGTAAATCATCATGAATATATCTTGAATATTCAATATATCACCCAGTCCTATCACACAATATCATAATTGTTGTGGTTTACAGTAACATTTCTTTCTCACCTTGACATTCCTACAAATATCCTCCATCTGTGAGATCAGGGTCTGTATTCTGTCATTTCCTGCCATCAAGATGGCTATGGCATCATTTAGCTCTGTCTGAGACAAAACAGAAGAATATAACCAATTGTGACAGGTCTTCATAAAATAAAAAGGGGGGGTGGGGGGCACATGACCAATGCACTCAACAACGTGTCATCTTTCACAAGAAAGCCATGACAGACTTGGCTATGCAACTTGTGATAACCACACTTACAGACAAGAGAACAGCATGTGAACTAAAAGCCGAGATTGTAGGAATGTTACCCGTCATGACTGATCAAACTTAGCTGATTTGCATTTGAAATGAGTGATTCACTGTTTATAGTGGGCCATGACTAAAAGAGAAAATGTCATCATAGCCACCTGGCAAAAATGATGGTGGTTTGGGAGCCGGTTTTGGGCATTGACCACCCAATATGATCCAGCAGTGTTACGTCATTCTGTTCCAGTTCCCCAAAACCAAGAGTCACAGAAGTAGATATACTACAAGAAGAAAGAGACTATTTCTGACGATGAGAACTGACCTTCAGCATAAGAACACTGCAAATAACAGATTGACATATGGTGTCCACCATGCACATGCTTTTCTATTGGGAAAGGCTGATACGTTTAGTCATTGTTCATCTGGTAGCTGCTGAAGGGAGAGAGAGAGAGAGCTGAGAACAGGCACTTACAGAGGACAAAACTGACAAATAAAAGGTAAAGACCAGAAGAAGCTGCTATGACTCAAACACAACAGGGAGGAGTGACTCATTTCTCAGGGCCAGTTGCACCCTGGTATGAAGACCTTCATTACTAGCCATTTCACAAGAGGTGCAGTAGGTCAAGAGCTCAATATCATGTAGGTTAAGAAAGCATCAGAAAGTGACAAAACTGCTCTGATGCTACACATTTGTTTTGTTTGTTTCCTTTTTAACAACCTTAATCTCATAAGTATCTTGGTCCTACAGTATGTAAGACGTATTGTCTGTTCTGTGATGTGCTATTATTGGTGCTTGCTATAGAGCATTGCAATTGCTCATACTTAGTCAAGTCACCTTTATTTATATAGCAGCTTCACAGTAATAAACAGTTAATTCTGATGTAAAGCAATAGTGTCATTATTCAGTTCAAGTCAGTTTTGTTCAGCTCAAGTCATTGTTGATTCAGTTCAGTTTAATAACCAAATAAAAGTTAATCAGTTACAGAGAAGAAGAAGGATAGATGATGTATTGACTCATTTAAATGTTGTTGATTTTGAACAAAAAAGTTACATAGTGTCCCTTTAATATGAAGGAGGGATCCGACTCAGAGTCATATTTAGGGACCAGAATATCATACAGACTGGGTGGGCTCTTTTAAATTTGACTTCTTGATTAATCTCTTCAGAAAACATAAATAGCTCATTTGTTAGACAAATTAGATGCAGCAAAAACTAAAAAAAAAGTAGGTCACAGGTTGAAGAAAAAGCAGTCATTGGTTGAGGCAGGAGTCAGGGCTGCTGGTGGTCTGTGTACTGTATGTGTGTTCACATGTGAGTGGGTGTTGATGCGAGAGAAGTTTGGTGAGATCGAGCCCCTTGCAATGTGTGAAACCTGCTGGTCAGCGTGTTATAAACACATCTGTCTAGTTCTAAGTGTCACACCACAGCCTCAAAACAGCCTGTGTTTTATTCTAAGGTCATTCACACCACCACAAACTAAGTAAAACAAACTTTAAAAAAAAAAAACAGATTGTCTGGTTGAGGAAGTCAATTATACTGTATGCAAATCCTCTACCTTTTGTCTCTTGTAGATGACCGGCAGTGGGGCCACATCGCAGTCCTTGTGAGCCCCGAACACCTTGCACATGGAGCATGTCGGTGTCTTACAGGTGAGGCAGTAGATGTTGATCTTCTCCTCCACATGCTGGTCACACATCAGCTGCTGTTGGTCTGTTTTGGGCAGGAGTAACCTGTAGAGTCAAAACAGAAAGAGATTTATGGTATGGTGGAAAGGTTAAAGATTTGCATTGCCCTTTAGCAAGGCGCTGACCCTAGGTTGCAGAGGAAAAAGTAATTATGATAATAAATATTAAATATAATATAATATTACATTTTTATTTAATAATTTCTATTTAATGACACAGCTAACGTGCAATTGGAGCATGTTGTCAAAAAAAAAGTGAATATTGATCTTTTTCTAAATTTAGGGTTTCTTTTTTTCTGGGCAATAACAGTGGCAAACAATAGCTTTATTTTAAAGTCCGTTTCTGTATAGTCACATACTGCACCTTACAGTATAAACAAAAAAAATGTTTTTTTTGTTGACCAATACAGTTTAATTACCTAAAAGTTTTGAACAGTTAAATACCGTAAAACAATTATCAAAGCAATCAAATTTTATTTTAATTTTGCCATACAGCACAACACAATGTCCAGCTCATTATTTTAACATAACTATATAAAAATAAGTCTGTATAAGTGAGATGGAAATTCTAGAATTCTGAAACTAAAAATAAAACTAGTTATATTCTGCATAATTCTAATTCAAATTAGAATTACAATTCTACAAAATAATTCTTTCAGTTTGCTACCTCTATTCAAATTCAAAATTTAAAAGACATCCTTAATTCAATTCTGAATAGCAAATGACACTGGTTCTAAATTGTGCATGTAATGATAAACTACACACAACAACAAGCATTCTTTCTTTGTGACTTGCCCAGAGGTGAATCACTATAACGGGAGCTGATGCGCAAATCTGACGTTAAAGCCATTTGCAGCAGGTGCTCCGTTTAAAAGTGATTGATGCAACTAATATGATATTCTGTCCTAAAATGGGCACATTACTCACATAGACCTTTTCAACAAGCATCTGTCCTAATCTGTCTTCTCAAGTGGAAAGAGATGGTTTGTGTGTGCAGTGTGTTGGCAGCAGGCCTGTTCAAAACAGAATATGTTTATGAAAGACTGCCATCCAGTGGATGTCTGCTGATAGGGTAGTCATCTGAAACCATATTATGGTGAATGGATATATTACTACAGGATATATTTATAAGTTGTAATTAGCATTTATGAGTTTACGTCAAAAAATGGAGACATTCTTGAAATCTCCTTGAAATAACTTAAATAAACAAATAAAAATAAATAAACACATTTTACTTCAATAATGTGATGTATTTCAGAGTTTATTGTTAAAACTTGAGAAAACATGACCTAGCTGATATCACAAGAAAAATATGGTAAATTTTAATTGATTTTTCCCCCAAATTTTCTTGTGTGTATATACATATATATATATATATGTGTGTGTCATGAGACCTGTGAAAAATATGCGTAATTGGGTATAATAAGACAGATAGACTTTGAGGCCTATATATATATATATATATATATATATATATATATATATATATATATATATATATATATATATATAGAGAGAGAGAGAGAGAGAGAGAGAGAGAGAGAGAGAGAGAGAGAGAGAGAGAGAGAGAGAGAGAGAGAGAGAGAGAGAGAGAGAGAGAGAGAGAGAGAGAATTATTAAGAATTATTGAGAGTATTAAGAAAGAAAATAGGAAAGAAAAAAGTCAATTTGAAACAATTCGTCAATTTATATAGGATATATATATATATATATATATATATATATATATATATATAGCAGGTCACCTGAATGTAGAGGTTGTTGCAAAGACACAAAAGATCAGTTGTATATATATATATATATACTGTATATTATATATATACATAGTATATATATACATATATGCATATACACACACAACTGATCTTTTGTGTCTTTGATACAACCTCTACATTCAGGTGACCTGCTTTCCATCAAAGACACATTACTAACCATGTTACATTACGTATTCATGATAAGCACCTCAGCGTTTGTTACAAAAGGCCTCAAAGTCTATCTGTCTTATTATACCCAATTACGCATATTTTTCACGGGAGGTCTCATGACACATTGTTTATTGCCACAGGGATAAAGCGTCCTAGTTATATTTAGTGTTTTGGCAAAGGATTACAGCAGTCACCAGAGCCTCAGGTCCCATGTCTCTGTTGTGTTTACATGGCGTGGCAGAAAATCTCCCACATGTGGGTAAATCACATATATTTGTGTCACTACACAGGGTTTAAGCCTCATTGATGAAACAGAACAAGTGTTGGTTAGTGGCGTGTCACTAGACTTTTATAACAAATTTTAATTAGTTGGCATACAGTGTATTTTTGCTACACAGTTCGGGGGGATTGCTTGATCTCTATACAGCAAGGACTGCTTTGAATTATTTACAACAAATAGCTATCATTCATATCAGTGCTTCCAAAACAGATAATGCTTGTTCTTGGAGCTTGGAACAGGGCCAGAAAAAGCCAGTGCTTTGGAGATGACTCCAAGTTGAAACTGACCTGGTAGACTCTGATTTGTAGATATCAATGATATTCTCCACTAGCAGGTTCCTCTGAAGGCCATATACACCATGCCGGTCCAATATCACTTCATGGCGACAAGATGGGCAGCGGAAACGTCCCCCTGTAGACAGAGTGGTAGAGCCCCGGTTTTGCCAAAAAGAGCTAGAGGCCTAAACCAGTTAAAGAATATTAGTAAAACATCAGTTAATCGGCGTTTGCACACATCAGTGTAATTTCTGTAAGCTAATGGATGAGTCAACAATATATCATTTATGGCATTTCACATATAGTTATTCCATCAAGATTGTTTCATCTTCCATGTGGCTAATATACAAAATAAAGTAGGACTAAGAAAAGAGCAGACTTGCTGTGTGGCCAAATTAATAGGTGAATGAATGGATGCCTTTGTCCACCAAACGCTGTAATTGGTCTGTCAGTTATCTTTGGGTAATTGTTAAAAGGGAAAGATGAGAATTAATATAGATGGATAGCAGCTCTCAGTCATGGTAAAGTCTGGCCCAACAACGTCACCCACTCTTGGAGGGAACACTAATGGCTCCAATGAGAACCTCATCTTGATGATGAGATGCCTTGACTAATACCTTTCGATTATTAATGGTTATTAATCACTATTTGTCTGCTTTGCCTCTAAGGTCTTGTTTCAATCTCACAAAACAGTAGTCAACTCAAAAATGACTTTTAAGTAAATATTAAAACTTGAGGTTGAGGAATAGAATAACTTCGGGAACATCAAATGTTTCATATTTTAAATATAAATGTCCAAGTTAAATGCCAAATTCACGACAGCACACAACGAAATATAAACAGCTTCTCGGCGGCGTCACCGAATGTCAATAACAGATCCGGTCCTTGAATTTGAATGATTGAGCAGCATCAACTGACAATTTTCGCTGCTGATTGTATCATTCCGCTTGTCTGTGCCCCTCATAGACTGTAAAAAATAGGTGCCCCTACTATACATGGTCAAATAGGCTATTATGAATTTGCTTTTGGGGAAAATGATCCTATTTTTCTTACTTTCTAATCTCTAAGTCTTTACCTGTTTATCAACCTTTTACAATCTTATGTAGCCTAACTTTCAATTGTTTCCTTCCTCCATAAAAAAAAAAAAAAGAAGCTTGTCAGTCGTTGCATATTCCAGACAAGATCATGTGGCATTTTCAGTGGCCCTCTCTGCAGGTTTGGTTATAGCCTACCTACACATAGACTGTAAAAAATAGGTTATACATCGATATGCCACTAGATGTCGTCACGCGATTGAGTGAAATCACCCACTCAACCGAATAATTAAAAAACAACGATTCATTCACAAGTGGCTGTCTGGTCTGGGTGTTTCTCAAACGGAAGGCTGCATCCCACGAAGGCTGCATATCTCGGCTGCCACTTCATCAAACGTTGATGAAGGCCATCTCAATTTGAAGGATACTTAGAAGGCCTTTCGTTGTCCTTCATTTGGCCTGTTTTGAAGGGTGCATCGGATGTAGGCCTACATGCCTTAAATCCCCCACAGTCCTTTGCACACATTAATCACGAAAATAAACTTGAGTCAGAGTTTATTATGAAATGTAAATAAAAAATAATGTTTTGAGACATGAAAGCAGATGTTATCTTTTGTTTTGACGAGGACTCTAGCCTATAAACATAAGATGGACTGAACTAGTCTCAGCAGCCTTCCATTTGAGAAACACCTTATGAGTCATTGAATCATTCACTCAAGCGATTTGTTCATTCCAAACACCACTGTTGCTCTGATATGCGGCTGATTCTGCTTTGACTTGGAACTATTTACTTGGTGGAGCAAAAATAGACAAAATAACTGCCAATAATTTGACAAGTTTCTACATGAGGTCATACAACAGTTGCCCAAATCAAGACCTTACACTTAGCCTACATCTTTATGGTAGCTGCAGCCATATGTTTTAAAGGGGTGATGAACTGAGAAATCAAATTTTCCTTGAGCTTTTGACATCTAAGAGGTCATCATATAAGAATATCCTATCCAAGTTTCAGAACTGAAAACGTCCTTAGTCCAATAAAAGCTTTTATTGACATCAGGCTCAGCAAACGACTCGTTTTTCAAAGTGGGGAACTATGACGACAAAGAGGATAAAACACCACCCCCGCAGAAGAAGATCAACGCCTACTTCAACACGGACGGGTTAGCCCCGCCCACCGATTCGCGCATTACACGAAACTCATTATAAGCAAAACTATTACTCACAGCAGTGGGCGTTTACTTCCAAGTCTTCAATGCAAGACGCCCATAAAAACCGAGCGTTTTTGAGCTAGGCTCAAAACTAAGGTAGAAAATAGCCTATTACTTAGTCATTTTGATGTTTTTGAATTTAAAAACCAAGCGAACGTCATAAGTTGACCTCAGACAACAATATAAAAAAAATTAAAAAGCCAGCTCATGACCCCTTTAAGCAACTTTCATGTTGGCTAATTAGGTAGTTTATGTTGAAGAACAAAATGTGGAAGTAATTTTAACCACAGACTTTTACTAATAAATCCAAAACCACTTTTTCAAAATCCAAAGAGCAATGCCAAATCTCTTCCAGATTTTAAAGGGATAGTTCACCCAAAAATGAAAATTCTGTCATTATTACTCACCCTCATTTCGTCCAAACCAGTAAGACTTTTGTTTATCTTCGGAACACAAATATAGATCTTTTTGATGAAATCTGAGAGCTTTCTGTCCCCCTGCAGCTACACGCTGACGCTTGAAAAAGTTCACAAAGAGATTGTAAAACTAATCCATATGAATTCCATATGAATTTAGTTAGTTCAAATTTTCCGAAGAGACTCGATCGCTTTATATGATGAACAGGTTTAATTTAGGTTTTTATTCACATATTAACTCAGCGAACATAAACAGATGCTGCCTGCAAAACCGAACCTGCTTGACACATGAGAACAAACGTCTTGCGGAAGCTCAAACGTGCTGCGTAACACGAGAATGAACCTCATTGGTTTTTGCTGAAGCTTCTGTTTACCACAACTGATGTGTTAGTTGATGAATGTTTATATGTGAATAAAAGCCTATATTCAATCTGTTCATCATTCAAAGCGATGTCTCTTCAGAAAATTTGGACTAAACTGCTCGATTCATATGGATTCGTTTTATAATCTCCTTATGAACTTTTTGAAGCGTCAAAGTGGTAGTTGTGTAGATGCCAATGGAGGGACAGAAAGCTCTCAGATTTCATCAAAAAGATCCTCATTTGTTATCCGAAGATGAACGAAAGTCTTACAGGTTTGGAACGACATGAGGGTGAGTAATTAATGACAGAATTTTCATTTTTGGGTGAACCCTTTAAGACTTCAAACTGAACAGCTTTATGGAGTTTCGGGATGCGACACAGAGAATGACCATTCAACCTGACAAATAGGACACTAGAACACTATAATAGGAATGAAGCAATACCTGGTAAACATCATTGGCACACTTCCTACAGAGGTTGTGCTGGCAGGGTAAGATGACCACAGGCTTAGTGAATATCTCCAGACAAATGGGGCAAATGAGCTGCTTCTCCAAGTTCTCCATTGAACTTGAGTCTCCCAACCCTGCTTTCAAGCCCAAATTGAAGTTCATCCCAGACTGCTTTTTGGACACCTTTCAGCCAACAAAAGTAAGATCCTAAACTTTCTTTCCTTCTGTTATTCTTTTTGCCTCTACACTAGTGCCAGTCTTCATCCAGATGCCCATTCGATCCCCAACCGCAGAGTGGCTGTGGATATATTTGGGCTGTGTTTGTACTGGCTTGGGTTACTTTCAAAACTGCACACACCCTGATATCCCTAAGAGTCCCCGCTTAGCGCTCTATCATAGGGGCCCGGGCCAAGTGAGGGAGGGGTAGGAGGACAGATTTCTCTGAGCTGTGTTATCTCTGGTAACTTGAGGAGAGGGTGGACTGGAATGGCAGGAGGAGACAGAGCAGCTGGCGTACGCGGCTCAAAGCCCAGCGAGACAACCGGGCCCATGAGCCTGAGCTGGCGCCGATGACATTACACACTTAAAACAAAATTAAGTGCATCAAACACACCCTGAATTCTGCCACTGGATAACATGAAAATGACATGGTCACCTGCAAAACAAATCTTTATGTATTCCATGTACTAAATGATGGCAGCAAAAACTATTATACAATTAGATGTTAGACGTTGACAATAATGCAATGCATTATGCATCATACAAACGTTTTATTTAAATTCAATTTGAATCATATAAAATTTTTATATGCATAAATGTCAGATTTCTAGAGAAGCGTTATTTCTAATGTTCCTTATTACTGTTGACTGTCCATTTTAGTTGGTTTCTTTACTAAAGAAATCTACTTCAGAAATATATATTGTTAAAATTGTATTTCGAAACGTAGGCTAGTGGCCAAAAGTCTGGAAGGGATATTTGTTTTTAATGACCCTACAAGTTTGATTAAACCATCCAAATATGAAGTAAATATATATTTTTTTGAATGTATTTATATATATATTTTTTGTTTTAAAAGAAAGTAAATACTGCTACAGGTTTTATTTTACTATGCAAGGAAAAAGTGCACAGAAAAACAATAAAGCTCACAGGCAAAACATACAAAGACTAAAATAAGCAGTTATTAATATTTAGTTGGTTCTCTCTTGCATGTGCTCATAATTTCTTAGTTTGACAGCCTGGCCAAAAGTTATATCAGCACAATTTGGCATGTTTCATTGACTCCCATCTCAATAATATGCTTACATATTAAACACACTTTAAATAATATTCTAATAAAGGGAGATGTTGTATATTTTCCAAGGCCAGACATTCCTTTTGGCCCCTACTGTACAGTAGACACATTTTTTATATTATAAAACTTACAGTTCAGGTCCTGGATGCTGATTGGCATGCTAGGTGTGCAAAAATACACAATATATACACTCACCTAAAGGATTATTAGGAACACCTGTTCAATTTCTCATTAATGCAATGATCTAATCAACCAATCACATGGCAGTTGCTTCAATGCATTTAGGGGTGTGGTCCTGGTCAAGACAATCTCCCGAACACCAAACTGAATGTCAGAATGGGAAAGAAAGGTGATTTAAGCAATTTTGAGCGTGGCATGGTTGTTGGTGCCAGATGGGCTGGTCTGAGTATTTCACAATCTGCTCAGTTACTGGGATTTTCACGGACAACCATTTCTAGGGTTTACAGAGAATGGTGTGAAAAGGGAAAAACATCCAGTATGCTGCAGTCCTGTGGGCGAAAATGCCTCTTTGATGCTAGAGGTCAGAGGAGAATGGGCCGACTGATTCAAGCTGATAGAAGAGCAACTTTGACTGAAATAACCACTCGTTACAACCGAGGTATGCAGCAAAGCATTTGTGAAGCCACAACACGCACAACCTTGAGGCGGATGGGCTACAACAGCAGAAGACCCCACCGGGTACCACTCATCTCCACTACAAATAGGAAAAAGAGGCTACAATTTGCAAGAGCTCACCAAAATTGGACAGTTGAAGACTGGAAAAATGTTGCCTGGTCTGATGAGTCTCGATTTCTGTTGAGACATTCAGATGGTAGAGTCAGAATTTGGCGTAAACAGAATGAGAACATGGATCAATCATGCCTTGTTACCACTGTGCAGGCTGGTGGTGGTGGTGTAATGGTGTGGGGGATGTTTTCTTGGCACAACTTTAGGCCCCTTAGTGCCAATTGGGCATTGTTTAAATGCCACGGCCCACCTGAGCATTGTTTCTGACCATGTCCATCCCTTTATGGCCACCATGTACCCATCCTCTAATGGCTACTTCCAGCAGGATAATGCACCATGTGACAAAGCTCGAATCATTTCAAATTGGTTTCTTGAACATGACAATGAGTTCACTGTACTAAAATGGCCCCCACAGTCACCAGATCTCAACCCAATAGAGCATCTTTGGGATGTGGTGGAACGGGAGCTTCGTGCCCTGGATGTGCATCCCAAAAATCTCCATCAACTGCAAGATGCTATCCTATCAATATGGGCCAACATTTCTAAAGAATGCTTTCAGCACCTTGTTGAATCAATGCCACGTAGAATTAAGGCAGTTCTGAAGGCGAAAGGGGGTCAAACACAGTATCAGTATGGTGTTCCTAATAATCCTTTAGGTGAGTGTATATTAAAACATTTCCTTAAACAGGATGGGTCACCCAAAAATTAAAATAATCTACTTGCCCACCTTTCGTTCCAAACAGAACTTTCTTCTGTGAAAAATGAAAGATTTTTGTCTGTTGTATTTTTATCCATACAATGGAAGTCAATATTAACCAAAACTTGGTTACCACCAGCATTCTTCAAAATATCTTATTTTGTGTTCCACAGAAGACAGAAATGCATACAGGTTTGAAGTGACAGAATTATAATTTTTGGGTGAACTATCATTTTAATATTGTCATTATGGCTTTTAGAAAAGCAAAAAAGCACTACTGACAGGCCATGCTATATTGTGAATATAGCCTTTGCTAACAGGGTTGCATACAAACTGTGTTCACAATTTAACCACAGGCTGCTATACCTTAAAGCTTAAAGAAGCCGACCTTCCCCACATCCAGGAAATTTGACAAATCATTTTTGGCCCACTCTCAGCAAAGGCATTGAAACTTGTCGTAACACACAGGAATCAAACCTTTCCACATGACCCTCACCATTATTAAATCCGAGTCTGCACTTCCTGTTAAGTATGTTGTAAGGACTGTTAATGAGTGTGTGGAGTTGTACTCTAAGCTGATTACAAGCTTATGGGTACAACTATAGCACATAAAGCAGCAGTGTGAAGTTAACCAGATAGCAGACATACGCTACCATTCATTTCCAACCACAGCCTAATAGTACCAATTAAAAAATGAAAACCTGACAGCCATGTAATCGCAACATGGACGTAAACTTGTGAAAAGCTAGTTCACAATAAGAATCACTCAAATGCAAGTTTTTACAAATCCCCATTTATTTAATGAATTCAGATTCAATAATATAAACACAATTAAATATGTGATGCATTACGAACCATGTTGAATAAAACAGGAGGAAAGTGACAATGTAGTGCCGTGGTTCTTAGCTTAGTTTTGGCCATTGGAAAATTCAGACCAGCCTTGGCTTTCCCCCCTCCTCATCAACAAAGTTATTACGCACAGCATCATTAAACTTAATATGTGCACTGGTGAAGAGGCCAAAACCTTTCAAATGCTTTAAAATCATTTGCACCCAAAACAAAGTGCCAAAAAAGTACAAATAAAAAAAAAAGAATTGATTGCAGTTATGTGCCTTGTCCATTGAAATGAAATGATCCAGTCAGCATGTAAATGTACCATTGGAAAAAAAATGTAACAGTTGGTTTGGAAGCAGATCATATCACAATGCTTTCTAATGAATGACTGCCCTCATCTCTTTATCTTAAAGTTTATTCTCTGAAAGCAATATCCAGTTTTTACGGGAAAAAAGAAAACGTCTTGGCTATAAGAAAATGCCCCCCCAAAATAACAAACAGAACAGACAGATGATCATACACTACTTGAAATTATTACATACTTTACTATTTGCACACAGAAACAAAATGCTGTACAATCCAAGTATATACTATGGCATTCGGAACAACAATTTATAGGGAGAACATTTGGCATCTACGGACTCTAATGTAGGGTTTCTAACAGTAACCTGACTATGGTTGAGTCTTTCACATTTAACACAATGGGCATTTCCTTATTGCTAAAATCACTAGTCTCTTGCAGATCCCAAATTTCAAAACGAAGTTTACACAGTGCATCATTTGAGTCAGAACATGTCATACACAATCTCAATTCTGATATATTAAAAATAAATAAGATCATTAAAAATATTTGCGTTTTGTTGTCATATACCTAAGGGCACGAGGAAAGCGTAGGTTTGCTCGATGATTTGGGATGGCGTTCATCAAAAGCAGGGTTGATCCCATTTGAACAAATGAAAAAAATTCACATTTACAGATATTCTTGCTTTCTCAGTTGATAAGTAGCCATAAGGGCTGAAGCCATTAGATTTGCATTAGAAGAAGCCTCCTATGAAGGTAGTGGGAAAAAAAGTGAAGAAAAAAAAAAACCTTTCACCAGCATATTCAAGCGATTTGATTTTAAGAAAATGTCCGACCATTGCACACGGCTTGGAATACCAAGCACGGCACATCAGATGACATTTGAGGCGTCTGCCTTGGCTTTGGTCAGAAAGAGACGTTACGCAGCTATGTCTTGCCACTTGATTAAGATTGACCGATCCAATCTTAAACGATATGCAACAATGCAAATGTAACTTGAGAACGAAAAACTCCAGTCTGAAGAAGCAAACTAAAAAAATTGCCATGTTATGGCTCCACTTTTGGATGAAGAGAAGTGTGAGGGGTTTTGCACACGTTCCTATGCTGTATAGTAGAGGCATGCTGATATTGCTTTGCATGCACTCACATGGTCATTCCACTCACATCCATGCTTCTAACACAAAACAAAAGAAAAAATTAAATAAATAGCCAGAACCAGAAAGAAACACCCCAAAAGCAAACCCACTTCCCTCCTGGAGCACTGCCCAATGGCACCAGTCTCATAGCTTTTGGAAATGAATGTGTGGTTACAGATAAACAGACAGACATACACACCAGTGGAGACACAGATAAAGTGAGATTGGCTTCCTTGTCTTTTGGCAAACTGTCACTCGTTTGCAGTGGGTCAGAGTCAGAGTATGACGCAGTGGCACAGTTTGGTCCTAGTGCCGTGATGCCCTGCGATCAGCATATTATATCAGGGGCCTTAGAGTCCATCAGCAGGACCCCCTCGACCTGATGACCGGGACCAGGACCAGGCAAGGGTGGCTCATTTCTGGGTGTTGTACACGGACTGGCTGGCTGTGAAATGCGTGGACTCTGAGGCGTTGATGGTGGAACTGGGCTGGATCCAAATGGGGAGATTTGAGCCTATAAAATAAATAATAAAAGGACAGAATTAGGATCTGGATATAATGCCTTCAATTACTTTAGCAAAACTACAAAGCAGTGGCCAACATGTATGGGTTTTCGACAATGCCAAGACGTACAAGTATGTATATTTATGTATAATAAAAAGATCAAATTTGCAGGATCCATTATCCATTGATTGTTGGTATCATGCTGTTTTAATACTACCAAGAGAGAAGAGACGAGAGAACCACCACTTCTTTTCATCTTCCAAGTCGGCAGAATTATCAACAGGCGGCGATAATCTCAAAATGTCCAAATATCAGCTGACATATCGGTACTATTAAAATGATGCAGATAAACGCAGACTCTAATTGTTTCAGTTTTGCATGAAGCCACCACTTTTGAGGATTAGACAGCAGGAGGTACAGAACATACAGTTTTACTGAGGCGCATTATCAATAGGTTTAAAGGTATGAATGATATGTGGGTTTCGCTAGCGGGAAATTTGCACACTAGGCCTACACTGTTCTCTATAGTGAAGCACAAAAGATGTTGTTTCTTGGGAATATGTCCAATGGTGGTCACAGCTCTGCTCCAAGAAACCTACCTCCCTTCCCTGATGCAGCTCTTCCAAATCACCGCCCCACTAACGGACAGCATCCATGTGCGGCAAAGAATAAAAATTGAACATTTCTTAATCAATTTGTTCATTGCAATTAATCACTCCTAGCAAAACATTAAAAATGAAAACAAAACACTGTAAACCTTGTTTAAATAACAGAGAGCTAAAGAAACAGAAGTGTGACACGAAACAGTAGTGGGGTGGTAAAATGGGCTATAGATGGAGATGCAAGGTGAGATGAAGATGACATTGGTGAACAGATGGCTGCGATGACAGGCCAGCGGTGCCTCAGTGCGAGACGGCTCGTGTTGATTGTGTTTCTATCGATGACATGCACCTGCTTTGACAGCTTTGCTTCATGCTGACGCAACCTTCCCAACAGAAAATCCCATTTCCTGCTGACTCATCCTCGCACTCACTGGCATATCCTAAGATCCTTTAACATAGTGGTTTTAATGCAGGATAATAATAATAATTCATGAATTCCTCATCATTAATTACATTTGTGTTACAAAACGCATAACATGTAGTAATGTTTAACCAGTGTTTCCCAGTGTGCCGTTAGTTTCACAATGAACCAAACATATTTTAAAACGTCTCATAATAACATAAAAGGTCTCTAACTGTGTTTTGCGCCATTGCTTTGGCAAAGTATACGTCAAACGAATTAATAATGAAAGTGCGATATGGCTTTTTGCCCACAAAATGCACAAGACGACGATTTATTTAAATACGTATATTTGTTTGCGCTGCGTGTTTCAAAGCGAAGTGCACACTTTTCTCACACAATCAGTTTGTGACCCGGTGTTTTCCGCACCTCAGAACGGCTCAGTTCACAGTAAATGAATGCAGTGAACTTCATCTCTGCACGTGTTGTGAGTTATTGTGAGTTTAATGTCAATTCACTGACTTTTTTCATTGTTCAATTTGCACACTGAACATGGGTTGGAGATCTTAATTTTGAACTCTCAATGAGCACCAGATTGATGAATTTAACTTTAATCTTCTTATATATATAATCTTTAATCTTCTTATACATAGTATACACTACTGTTCAAACGTTTGGGGCCAGTGAGATTTTTTAAGCTTTTGAATTAAGTCTATTATGCTCACAAAAGGCTGCATGTATTTGATAAAAAAAATATAGTAAAAACAGTAATATTATGAAACAGTATTACATTTTTTAGACACTTTTCTATTTTAATATATTTTAAAATGTAATTTACTGCTGATGCTGTTTCCATCAGCAGTAAATTACATTTTAAAATATATTCATCATTACTCTACCCCAGTGTTCAGTGTTCACACGATCCTTCAGAAATCATTCAAATATGCTGTTTTGATGCTTAAGAAACATTTCTTATAATTGTTGAAAATGGTGCTACGTTAAATTTTTTTCAGGATTCTTTGAATAGAAGTGTAAAAAAACAGCTTTTATTTAATGTAGAAATATTTTGCAACAATATAAAAGTCTTTAATGTCCCTTTGATCAATCAAATGCATCCTTTTTAGCTTCTTTAAATATATATATATATATATTTACAATATTTGAATAACTCTTGATATTAATATTTTTGTTAATATTAATAATGTTAATAAATTAATATATGAAATATTATAAAGTTATTAATTTCTCAGCTGTGTGGTCTGGCAGGCACTATCATAAACTAAATGGTCAGATGATGTCCTTCCACCTCCTGTTCATCAAACTCCAATACCTACAGGAGGATCAAAGTACTTGGCAGAAAAAGCCTCGGCCTGACAACATGCAAAACAAGGACATCCACAGCACGCACATGCAAAGCTTTAGGTTCATGCATGTGCCTAGTAAAGCAAACGCAACTCAAGATCTCCAGATAATGCAAGTCACTGGCTTTGGGTTTCAGTTCATTGCATAGTGTTTCAGTGCATAAAGTTCCTTAAAAAATAAAACATTGAATCTACTGATGAATGTGCTGTGAAAGTACTAGCACCGATTAATAAGCCTCAGCGAGGTCGTCAAGAAATTGGGCCTTACAATGTTTAATAAAGTCTGAAAACCAGATCCAATGACTAACTCGAAGCCTTTGTAACAGCAAATGCTGCACAGTAATCAAAATGTTAGTGAAAGACAATGGTGTGAATCATGGACAAACACAGGGTTTTGTAGGTAGACATTTACAATGGAGTGACTCATGCTGGCGATAAATATTTAGTCTTACAAGTCATTTTGAATCCGGTAAAGTTTCACTGCAGATTTCTGGAACAGGACTAGGTATAGGCTGGACAATAATTATTGTTTCACCTGTCGAGTAAAAGAGTAAAACCATTATCTGACATTACAGGTCACATGAAAGATTTCATTGTAATGTACTCTCTCACAGCTGAAAAAAAAGGATGGTTTATACTTTTAAATGTAAGCTTTAAACATGTAAACAATTTAAATCCACTTAGTTTGCACTAACTTCACATTAAGGGCAATATCTGTATGATATACTCTGTATAAAAATGTATATAGTCTACATTTTGTAATATTCATAAATATAAAAAATGGCACTTAAAAATACTGAAGTTGGCATCTTTAAGAATAACAGGAAATGTAAATAAAATCCTAACCACAAAAATAATCGAAAGATATAATACTCCAAAACATTTGTCAATATTACAGGACTGCAACATGCCAGTATTTCTTGTCTACTTAACTTGACTGTCATACATTTGCTAGTGCTAAATTTAGACACAACAAAATTGACCAAACACCTTGCGCTTGCACTCTATAAATAATATAAAAGCCATATTAGCATCAGGAAGACAAGAGGCGCTCAGTACCCAATGTCCTAGTTGACTGATACATACGCATCTTGAACGATCACAGCCAAGACAAGTGCAATGAGTCCTGTCTCATTTGACTCTTCATTAAATTCAACAAGAAGATAAACTGCAGACACCTTAAGGTCATTTCAAACACTAGATTAGACTGGAATACAAGACTGGACTATTAATATAAAATGTAGTGCAACATTTGAAGATGATGGGTGATTGTGGCGTTTCAATTTTATATGAATCGGAGGCAATCCATCTTCCATCATGTCCGCAGTAATATAATTTATCCCATATTTAAAGGACTAGACAGAATGATCCATCAGAACTGATTATACTCGAAAATATCCAACTTCTTTATTTTTTTTTCAATTTGTTTTGATGTTGAAATCCCTCTCTCCAAGTATGAGCATTAATAATAAACAACCCTCAGAGGGCAACCCAACAAAAGCACTGACATCTATATAAGCAAAATCAGAGTTATAAATAGCTGCATGTTTATTCTTTTTGCTTGATCTGGTAAATTTGTTCCTGCTGTACATGCCACCTGAGCAACATCACGTGTCTCTACCGAGACAGCAGGGATGATCACCCACCTCAACTGCGGATGAGACTTTAGCAAAGACTATCTAGTCTTCCCTTGTAAAATAGAGACATTATATAGTCAGCAGTGCTATATATTAATAAATGAATTCAGTGTATATAACTGCAAGTTATTAATTTCAAAAACGTCTGCCTACAAGTTTATACATGAAAAGAAAAGTAAAATTATACTCCATTTGGGGTCAGTAATATTTTTTTTGCAAGACATTAATGCTTTTATTCAGCAAGGATGGATTTATATTGATCAAAAGTGACCATAAAAACATTTGTAATGTTACAAAAGATTTATATTTCAAATAAATGCAAAAAAAATAATTAAGCAGCAAAAATGTTTTCAACTGTAATAAGAAATATTTCTGAAGGATCATGTGACACTGAAGATTGGAGTAATGATGCTGAAAAAGCATTTTAATATTCAAATAAAAATCATAATATCTCACAATACTACTGTTTTGACTATTTTTGATCAAATAAATCCAGCTTTTGGTGAGCATGTGAGATTTATTTAAAGAATATAAAATCGGACCAACCCCAAACTTGTGATTGGTATATTACGTATATATAGAAATTCAAAAAAGCACAAATTGCTGAAAGTAATAACTTGCAGTTCAATAATAATGATGTTGATCCTGTGGCCATTCTGACGGATTAAGTGAGTTAATTCAGTGAAAGATTCATCAGCAGAGTGATTCAAACAGCTAATTCCGGAGTTCATAAGCCTTTTGAACAATTCCCGACATCAACAAACTGCCAGATAAGCGATACATCAGTCATCCACCTAGTGTTACTATAGTCAGACCAAAACATGCTCCCCTTCCTAACAAACTCAAGGCTCACCTCCTCCTCCATCCTGCTCTGCTTTGATCTGGGCCTCCAGGTCTTCTGGGTCCACGTATTGGTAGTTGTCATCCTCCTCTGGTGGTTTGCACTTTCCACAGCAGAAACAGCAGCAGCAACAGCAGCAGCAACAGGAGAAAACGGCACAGCACATGACCGTAGCCTGCGGAAAAAACAAACCTCAGATCATAGATCTCAGAAAGGCACATGTTGGAAGCTTAATGCCACGGCGACAGGGACGTTAGCAAGATGCTACCACCAGCTACTACTCAGTCCTAGTCGGTCAGTCACTATACTGACATTGTTGGTCAGACACTATCATGCTAGAAAGTTCGAGGAGCTTTCGATAGCTCCTAAGCTGAAACACAAGGGAAATGATTGGCAAAAAAACAAAGCACATCAGCAATTATTTATAGCTTTGTAGATCAAAAAGAAACAAAAAACGGATGCATTTTGATCAGACTCAGCTGTCTTGCTTTCTGTATCAAGCCTATTTGAGAAAATTATTGCATGTGGATCAAAAGCCACCATCATCTGTAAAGTAAATTCTGAACGTATAGATCTCAAATAGAACAAAGCTTGCTAAATAACATCTGTTCTGCTCAGATTATGACAGTGGCTTGGAGTGACAATTTCCTGCTGAAATCATTCTGCTCTTTTCTCGATTTCAGGTTTTCTATTGCCCACTAATCTCTTCTGGTGACAGAAACCCAGAGTTCACACAGTCTGCATTGTTTATTTTTGATCGCTGTATTTCCAATAATATTAAAAAAATTCACTCTTAGAAAAGAGATTTTTTTTAAACGTTTTTTTTTTTCTTTTCTTCGTGCTAAGCAAACTCATTTCATCAAAACTGCATCTCTGAGTAAGTGAATGTCACCAAAGAGTGTCAGTGTAGAGTTTAAGTAAAGACGGTCAGTAATGACTTTTTTTTTTCATGCAACTGTTTATAGGGAATCGAGCTCTCACCTTGAACCACCACTTTGACATGAGGAAGTAGTATTTGACACTCTCTTCTCCAAACTGCTCGGACACGTAGAGCCCCATGGAACCATACTCATCGTAGATTTTGCGTTTGGTCTCATCTGTGAGGATTGAGTTGGCATTGTTGATTTCCTTGAACTTGTCTGCAGCTTCAGGGTTTTCTGGATTCTTGTCTGGATGGTATTTCAGAGCTAGTTTTCTTTAAAAACAAAGAATTTTGTGTGTCATGAATCTTTTGTAAAACCCTGTTTGCAGTGCAAACAACTCAATTGAAATGATTAAAACTTGTTAACAGATATTATATGGCTTCTATCATGGTCAATGCAAAGTACATAAAAATGAGTGTTTATTTCAATAATAATTACGATAATAAATAATAAATCACCAAACTTGTTCCCTGGACAAATTCAAACAAATTGAAGGAGACAAAAAAAAAATGGAGTAGTTCGTGTCAGAATCAATTCAAATGCTTATTGCTAAGTAAAAAAAAAAGAGAAGCCTTATATTTGTATTTAAAGTATTAGTAATAATGTTAAAAATAATACAATGATGTACATAAAATGTAAATTGTTAAAATAATGAATATATATATATATGCAATTTAAATAACTTTTTTGTTAATGAAAAGAACATTACTAATTATTTTAAAATCACTTTTGTATAAAATGAGTATAGTGTAAAATATATTGAAAAAAATAATATTGATATCCTAAAATAAGACAAGACAAAATTACCGGTAGGTAATATATTTTGTGTAATAATTGGTACTTTGATAGCAGCACTGGTGAATGTACTTTCATCTTTATAAAAAGGTTAATGAGATTAATTTACAACCATTTCAAAATAATTCTGAAATAGCAAATTAAAGGGGATGGGGTCATGACATAAATCAAATTTGCCTTGATCGTTTGACATAGAAGAGTTCTTTGTACCATTAAAACATTCTGCTTCCTAAATTCTTAAAGCTACAATGTGTCATTTTTTTTGCAGCTAGGGGTCGCTAACCTCTTACAATAACAAAGGCGTAGGTTGATGACGCAAAATTCCAGCAGAATTATGGAACTTGTCAAGCTGATGGATCTAATAATGTTTATGGATGAGTGAATACATTGATGTTTTTATCATGACTGTGGTATGAAGCAGGGAGAGATTGCTAATGAGAGACAGATATCTGCGCCACACACGAGTCCCGTGGATATAAAGGAATAAGGACATTTCATTCTACCGAACTACCCACAAGTGCTGTATTAATACTCACACAAGTCAGTTTATTAGACGAATGAAACTTGTTGTGAGGTAACGCAGCGCTGTTTCACTTGGTCTACACTATCACACTAAACTGGCATTTGAGTGTGTTGAAAGTTATAATGTTATTCTGTGTGTTAGTTTGTTGGCTGTATGAGACTAGCAGTAAGCTAATCAACATTTGAATAACATACTGATCATATTCTAACATTTCATCATGTTGAGCTATATAACATTGATTAGTTTTATGTACATTTGCTCACTTGTCTAATAAAGTACACGCAAGAGCTCTGTCAAGTCAAAGTTAGTCCCGGACGTGAAGCTCTCGGCATTTCGAAAACGCCACAATGATACTAGCCTCGTTTCCACTGCCGGGCCAGGGCTAACAGCGAGCCGAGCCGAGCCAGTGGCCTCGGGCCTCAAGCACCGGGCTTGCGTTTGCACTGCCGGGCCAGTAGCCCCGCAGCGCTGCCCTAAACCCCGCCCCTAACACGCCTTTCTGGATCAAACGTCATACAACCCAACCCATTTCAGCGGGTATTATGAATTTATTTATTTTTTAAGTTAGGAAGATAGCATGTATATTAACTCACCGGCCGTGGCTGCAGCCTGCAATAGTGTCCAGATTGTCTCGCGAATCGCCACTAACAGAGGGACGGTGTCCCAGCACACCGTCCATCAAGTCGAACCATGTAATTTGGAAAGTTCCTTCTCTGAGCTCCGCTTTGTCCATTGTGCGTTTGAATCGTCTTGTACAATACTGCGCCCGCAACTTTTTTTTTTCCTGAACTTGAAGCGTTGCTCGCTGAATGCTTAGCTTAGAAAGTTCAGCATAGATGTATTTTATAACGTCTTCGTTTCTTCACACGCCGTCAAATTGACGTTGTACCCTTTCTTCTGCCCAAATGCTCAGAAGAGCTTTGGTATCTTCGACAGACCAGTACAGGCGATTCACCATTTTGAGCAGCGATTATTTTGCGCGATATAAAAAAGTGAAATGTGCATCTTGCTTCAGATCATAACGTTCCATAACACCGATAAACTCCGCCTTTTACCTTGACCACGCCTCTAGCCCGAGCTGGCCCGCTTTGGCCCAAGGTATTCGACGGGCCAGAAATCCTGGCTGTTGGCCCCGAGTAAGCCCCGATCAAGCCCCGGAAGTGACAGTGGAAAACGCGACTGGCTCTGGCACGCACTAGCATGGCTCGGCCCTGGCCCGGCAGTGGAAACGCGGCTATTGATCCTCGTTTTAGTTCTTCTTTTGTCACAAAGTCTACTTGCCATGGTCCATAATGTTTGAACGAAACAACAACAACAGAGTGAGCGTGCCGCTAGACGTAACGCAGTTGTCCACGTCTGTCGCCATGGTTACTATGGCAGTACGAGCAGAAACCAGGGATAACACGGATATTACGCCATTGACAGGCGACAAGTGAACAGGGAGTCCGGTACAGCTTATTATTTAAAATTGAAATTTCTCTGAAATTAAAAATCTTTGGGAACTTTTGGGATATTGTAAGTACACAACTGCAGGAAATATAATCACACTGTGCAAGTAATTTTTGGATATTTTATTACAAAATGCTTACATATTGTACCTTTAAGTTTCTTAAAATGTCCTCTTCATTACAAAGCATTTATTTAATCAAGCTCCAAAAACAGCTTGTTAGGATATTGCGGGATCTGTGACATCACACAGGCAAATACATTTGATAACAGTGAGGGTCTCAGAGCGACTTTATTCATTATTAAGTGGCTGGTTAAGCACATTATTAATGAGAAGAAACTCATTTAGTCCAATCTCTGTGCTGTATTCTACATGAGATTGCATTACACCTAAGAATTCAAATGTCACGAAAGGCTGTTTCAGGTCTGTTCATTCATCTCTGTAGTGTTATCTTTCAGAGACACTTTGTTTCTTCGTGTGCATTTGGCTCCCAACCAACACACAAGGAAAAAGGAAAAAGCACACAAGAAACGAGCATGAGAGCGTTTTCTGCGCTGAAGGAGGATTATATGTTTGTTCAGAGCATTTTGTTTGGTAAACGCGTGTAATGGAGAATTCACAAAAAAGCTTTTGTTGAAAGATGAAGTGCCAACTGTATTAAATCTGACAGCAGCTGCATCACAAACCACAAGTAAGATTTCATAATGCTTAATTTGTCTGCCTATATGGATAATGCTTTCCAAACACTTAAGCCCCATTTACACCTGGTATTAAAATGCGATCTGTATCCAGATAAGTTATCCGGATAATAAGTGTTCTGATCTTACCTTTGCGTTTACACCTTGTATTTTTAATGCGTTCTCGTTATCCACATTGAGTTCGGATCTCTGTCCTCCAGAGTGACACCTGCGCGTGAGCACTGAGGTGGCGGGAAATCAGCTGTAGTTTGTCAACATGGCAGGAGTAGGATCGTTAGAGATGCTATTACTGTACCGCCTGGCCTGTTTCTACTTTTTCTCTGTCGCAGTAGGGGTCATTTTCAACGTTTTTCTATTAGGAGCAAACAGAAAAGACGACAGGCCCTGTTTGCAGCTGTTGTTTTTGCGGCTACTGTGAATGCTACGACAGTGAACCGGTCTCTGTGGATGTTTAGCTTAACGTTACTTCTGAGGGGTGTGGTTTTCGCGGGCAGAGGATGACGTTTGGCAGGTACAAATGCCATCACATCGTACGGATTGCGTTTACACCTAGTAAAGATCCGAACACAATGCGAGCCAGACTACCTCCAGATGTGGTCAGGCAGATCCGATCACAACGTATTTACACCTTGCATTAACATGCGTTTTTTATTATCCGGATAACTTATCTGGATACAGATCGCATTTTAATACCAGGTGTAAATGCAATAGCGAGTGGCCATTGATACCGTTTCCTATGCAATGGCACTAGCCAATCATAACAGTGGGTGTTTACTGACAAGCCTTAAATGAGTCGTCCCTTAAACACTGATTCAGTTCAGAATAATAGTTGTATTGCATATATACAGTGGTGGACGTCAAGTACTTGAGGTAATGTACAGATAACTTAAAATATTACTCCAGTAAAAGTTTGAAGTACTCCTTTCCAATTTTACCTGATTAAAAGTACAAAAGTAAAGATTTTAATGTACTTAAGTATTAAAAGTAAAAAAGTACTGATCAATGAATGTTTGTTTTGTAATTTTATATACTTAGGGTATATACTTTTACATTAATTTTATATTATATATTTTATATAATCCTTCTGCTCAAAATACCTGGGGGAGGGGGAATTGCTGGGTCTAACATCATTATGAATTGTCAGTAGCCAGCACTAGTCAGTAAGAAAGATTAGTGGATGCAGATACATAATATGTAATGCGTGTTGACAGATGTCACAGGGATAAATGCATAACATTTTAAAATGAACGCTATGCAAACATACTAATTTTATATCATTTGAAGATGCTACGGCAGTGAGGAAGAATGCAAGTGCAAAAATTGATTATTTTAATGTTATCTTGTGTTTTTTAAACTTAAAATCTACGCCGTTGAGATGGTGATATGGACATGCATTCAAGCATTACAGCTTACCATTTTACAGCAGATTTAGTTCACAAACAACTGACAGTTGTGACCTAAAGATGAGTTTCATTTACAATAATCAATCCTAAAATTCATCATTTGTAATTTACTTTCCGCTCCATCAGTTGTACGCGCACCAAAGTTCTGAGGATGTCCCAGTTCTCTGCTCATTTTGAGTCAGACTTGTATTCAGTTAACTAGAGACTCGCTCTCAACGGATCATTGAATCAGTGAGTTGTTCACTCGAGAATAGTCCAAATCGCAAAAGAATCATACATTGCGATTTGTAAACCGATTTACCAGGTTCATTGAAAAGAATCAGCTCATTCACGAATCGGACACGGCTGTCGCGTCTCAGAGCACATGGCAATTTCTTCAGAAAAAAGAAAAAGAGTAACGATATGTTTTATGAAATAAACCGGTACCTGTAGGCTCTTTTAATGTCCTCTGCTGTGGCCCCTTTCTCCAGTCCCAGCACCTTGTATAAACTGTCCCCTGTAGTGGACATCTTCCTTTGAGGCCTGTCAGAGGGTGGCTTGACATCTGCCATGATTCAATGCTAAACAACAGGAAAAAACAGACAAAATGATGCATTCAAAAAATTAATTGCATCCAAAGGGAGCTGCTCTTCAAACTCTTCTGCGGCAGCCCATTATTGACACACGGAACAATGTACACAGCCAAAGCAAGCAGAAAGCACTCGGCTCTATTTTAACAACACACTGTGCAAGTACAAGGTGTGGCGAAGGTGAATTCTGTTGATGTTGAAATAACAGGTGCAGGTTTTGGATGTTTATGAGTAATCCATCAGGAAATGACTTAAACACTACTAAGAAACCATAAATAAGATGTTTGCACTCATAATGATAGGATATGTACCAGCATGCAACGGTGGGCAGAACAACGGCTTCCCGATTCTCATAACGCCTTTGCTAAAGAAGATTATGTTTTGCTGATCTCACAAACCCCATGTTGACAAAGGCTAATAGACGCTTGTATACACATGACACCTGTCCTGATCATGAAAGCCCATTTTAAGTGGTTTAAACACTGAACATGGATCTTTCTGAGAAATACTTTCATCTGAACCACATCACCACCATTGTGAAACTAATGCTTCTCAAGTTTAAACTGGCAAAAACACACATTTTGTAGTCATTTATAATGTCACAAAAGAATTGTTTCAGACATATCCGATAAGCGCTTGAACACAATGTCCAATCAGAGGTGTTTACGATTCCACTCAACAGCGCTCAAAGCGTCACAAATACTTTTTTTTATTACTATTTTTAACTTTTCATTCATCAAATAATCCTGAAAAATAACCTATCAAGATTTCCACAAAAAAATAAGCAGCACAAAGGTTTTTAACATTGATAATAAGAAATGTTTCCTGAGCAGCAAATCAGTATATTGGAATAAATTCTGAAGGATCATGTGACACTGAAGACTGGAGTAATGATGCTGAAAATTCAGCAAAATATATACAAAATGGAAAAGAGTTATTTCAAATTTGTAAAGTTGTAATAATATTTACAGAATATTGCTGTTTTTACTGTACATTTGATCAAATAAATGCAGTCATGGTGATCATAAGAGACTTTGTTAAAACACATTTAAAAACTTACCGACCAAAACTTAAATTATTTTGTGTATTTATTATTGCAAATGCAAAATAGACACTTGAATACATCATCCGCAATGCTCCATGAGGGAGGGCGGTTGCTGCTCACGTCTTTTACAACAGTTTGTTTCCATGGTAACAGTGATTTCTCTGATAGGAATTATGGGTAGTAGTACTGTTCTTCAACAAAAATCTGGCAATTAAACTCTGAGGTGATTTCTACAGAAGGGACTTGCACCTTTTACAGAAGCTTGAAAGTTTACACTCTCAATTTCTTTTGGGGAGAAATGAATAGAATATTACATCCAAAACTCTACTGCTGCACTCTAGTCCAGTCTTTCCAAGTTGCAAACCCCTAAGCCACACTGACTTTTAAGCTTGAAATAATTTCTATTCGTTCGTTCAAGAAAAGTTTAGAGCCAGTTAAGACAGAGATGATCACACAACTAGAGATATAATAACAGCCTGGTAAAACAATCATAAGACAGATTCACATCTTCAATGAAGGTTGCACTAGAAAGCTAACCGATCATCACCTGTATCAGACTGCAGCTGTGCGAGCTTCAGATGAGCCTCTGTTCATCAAGCTGTAAGCTTATCTCAGGCTTAACTCTACAGTCGGTGTATTTTGGATGAATCTAGCGGCTGTGCCAACGTCTGATGAGAACGCACACTAAATCACTATTCACACAGGTCACTTTCTTCCAGATGATGACAACTGGCTCAATGCTCTAAAATGAACCAGTCCGACATGATGAAGCTGACACAACTTTATATGCCATTTCAATTCAAAACTAATGCAACAAACATACACCAATGCTCCCAGACCAGTTCAAAATCGTTAGAAACATGATCAACAATACCTTTAAAAGTCAAGGCAGCTAATAATAATAATAATAATAACAACATGATTTTCATGAATCTGCTAATCATTTGAAGACACGTTGCTTTGGAAGTCAAAATCTAGTTGTAATACCTATATTCAGCAAAAATGCATTGAATTGATCAAAAGTACCAACAAAGAATCCTGAAAAAAGTATAACAGTTTCCACAAAAATATTCAGCAGCACAATTGTTTTTAACATTGATATTAATAAGAAATGCAGGAGCAGCAAATCAGCATTATTTCTGAAAGATCATGTGACACTGAAGACTGGAAAATTCAGCTTTGTCATCACAGGAATAAATTACATTTTTACCATAAATCAAAATTGTATTATTTATATTATAATTATAATTAACAGTTATTTTAAATTAAAATATTTCACAATATTACTGTATTTTGATCAAATAAATGCAGCTTTGGTGGCCCAGGAGCAGAAAATATCTAAACCTCTCTAGAAGCACTGTACTTGGCTGTTTTCTTTCAACATTTGATAGATTGAAAGACTTTATGACCAATGGAAAGGCATTAAAACTTTAATTTTAACAGAGGACTTGATGTCTTTGAAAGGACCAGTGGGTGATGTAATCAATCTCAATTCACATAATAAAGATGTATTAATATTTCATTTGCACACGTTTGGGCCTGACATCAATGTTCAATCTAAATGGTCGAACTCAAACCCACTGTTTAGAAGTAAATCATTACCTCCATCTCTCAAAGACCAGGTAAACATGTGGCTTGTTCAGCCAACCCTTATTGGGTAGATTGAACAATAGATAATGACCTGTCTAAAAAATGACACTACTCAAAACAACAAAAACAACTGTTTAAAATGGAGCAGAAAAACTATTTATTAGAAATACATGTGATATAATTTGCTTTCACAATAGTTCTACATCAATAGATCTGAACAAAAACACGTGTTAACTCTCCAGTCACCGCATTTAAACATCTGGGATGAGTCTTGTGACGTCACGCGTTCATTGATAAGGTTTATTTTTGTCCTGTCGTGCATATGCACCCGAGTTATTATCATAGTCATCATTTATTTACATTACTTACTGGCTTTTGTAACGGGCAAGTGTCCTTGTAAAACTATAATCCAGTCTTAATCCAGTAAAGATTACTATCCCCTTCAGACCCTGTCTTTTCCTTCACTCTTCACTTTAACCATGACCCGTTTGGTTTGACCTGGGCAACAGCTACTAGAAACAATATCTAAGATCAGTTAACACAGGTACACGTGGAGTTTATTCATCTTTATTCGGGATTATTGGATCTGGGAGGAACGAAATTCGACCGTCTAATTCATACCTAATGTCAACAATACCACTTTGAATATAAACCTTCTTGCAAACGTACATTCATAACACAACTAATATGAAATTCATACACGATGCTGACTGGTTTATAGGGCCATTATGAATTTGCAATTACTTTTATCGATGAAGCAAACGGCTGACTAGGCAGTTAGCATTAGCAGGTTTAGCAACGATAGCAAATTTGTGTGGATTTTAAGATGCAAATTTCAGCACAGTCGATTGGAACTCACCTTGTACAGGGTGGTAATGTGTTAGTCAATTGTGGCTGAATCATAGAGGACTCAGCCGAATGGTTCTTTAGATATCCTAGGTACAGCTCCTCATTGCTATCGCCGCATGCATGTCCTCCCTGCCTTGAAAGCGTAGAGCGCTCTGAGGACGCTCTTGATTACTGGAGTCGACTCTTTGAACCAAGTCTCCAGCATGTTCGGCTCCCTTGAAATGGGAATCGCGCACAAGGGCACGATCTGGGAGTCGATTCTTTAGCGGAGTTGACTCTCGTTCTATGGATTAAGACCGTAGAATGCCATTGGACGTAATCGATGCTTTGACTTTGATTTACTGAAACGACTCCAGTCCAGGACGTATTCTATCAGGTGTAGCTGGTTAATACAGCCTTTTTATCAGTAAAAGCAAAAATACTTCACAGGTTAAACACACCCCACATAAGGCGGGGTTGAATTTAAGACTCAAAATCATGTGAAAAACAAGGGGTTATGTAGTTTATTTCAGTTTTCAAAATAAAAGTCAGAAGAAGCGCAGTTTAGCAACGACGTAAATTTGCAGGCCGCGAGTTCCCATCATTTTTCTAAGTTTCTTTTAGCGGGGTTTGGCTTATTTACACACATTTTAAATAATAATAATAATAATAATAAATCAAATCAAATGATTTTGTACTCATTTAAAAATCAATAATGAAAACACCATGGAAATGTTAGATTTTGGGGCGAGATTGTCGATTTCAATGTTAATTTTATTTAAATGTAAATTTATATAAATTTAACAGATGTCATTTTTGCGTACTTGGACTTTTTCCTTGATTTGGACCATTTTGATTATAAATGCTTTGGTGAAGTTGTCAAGTGTAGAAAACATCCAATAAAAGTTTTAGTCTTACAGTCTAGCAAATATTCAGGGGCTTTATGATGATATTGTCTCCTTTTATTTCTACTTGTACATTGCGTGCTTATAGGGCAGGCAGACTGTATGATGTTGCAGTGGAATGACATTAAAGAGCAGAGAAAGGTCTGAGATTGCAATTTTTTTTTATTTGCTAAAAATACAAATTACAAAAGTTTTACTCCATAATGAAGAATAATCTTCCTACAATACTGTATATCTACCTATTTGCACCAAGAGGATTGAGTAACAAAAGTCTGGTCTCCAAAAGGAATGTCAAAATACAGAATTAACAATTGTAACAGTAAGATATGTAGTGGTAAAATTGTTTCTATGTTTGCAAGATTTTTCTAATTCTGAAATGAAACGAAACGAAACTGATCAGCCTGCTATTCTAGAGTGCTACATTAATGTAATGATCTCAGATATTCAGGATGGAACTAGGTTAACCACACTCCACTGTGGTTGCATTAATTTATATCAAATAGTCAGTATATGGAATTTCAATTGTATTGTCAATACTGAAAGGAACAACAAATCTGGGTACTTTCCCTCAAAAATTACACCTACTTGAGTTTTACAGAGGGTACACAGAATAAACAATAGCCATAGAATCCGTACGTTGGCAAAAATTTTTTTCCCTTTACTGATAAATGTCCAAGACTAAACCATGATGGTCCTTTCACCGACCCAGCACAGTAGCCAGAAGTGCCATCCGAATATACATCCCATTCTCCGCCTGCCGAAAATAAGCAGCTCGAGGATCCGTGTCCACCTCCGCACTGAAAAAAAAAAATAGGATTACAAGAGACTACAAAAAACTTTGTATTCAGCACTCCAGTTTATGTAACTTCCGATATTTGCCTTGACACTCCTCCTGAAAATTAGATTTTAACCTGACGCTTTGAACTGATAATAGCAAACCTGATCTCATTGACTCGGGGAAGAGGATGCATGACCACCATCTTCCTTTTGGCTCCCGTCATGATATGTGGGGTTAGGATGAACTGCCCGAAACACTGTCAGAAAAAGTCAATCTTTTATAAAAACTTCATGATGTTTAAGAAATAAAAGATGCAATGTTCTCATCAGAAAATTCTCCCACCACTTTGTACTCTTCTTCAGAGGCGAATCGCTCCTTCTGTATTCTCGTCATGTACAGGACGTCAGTCTCTGGGAGAGCCTCTTCAATGCTGTTAAACTCCTCCTGTGGACAGACACATTTAAGGGAAATGCAGCAATGCAAATATTAAGCCTCCAAGTAACAGTCCACTCCTGAATTCATATTTTTGATTGTGACGCACCTGTTTAATGCCTTTAGAGGCCACAAAGTCAATGATCTCAGCAGGCATGGTGAGGTTTTTGGGGGCCACGTAGCGCAAATTGATCCTGTATTGAGTGAGAAGTCTAGCCAGAGAATGCACAGTGCGGCCATGTTTCAGATCACCAACCATGGTAATCTGAGATTTAAGAAAAAAATATCCAAAAATTAGAACAAAAAAGTTATTAAACTCATTCTAAAAACTGAGCATATTGTCCAGAACACAGCAACATTGGCTAAACTTTGAGAGCGAGTTTGAGAAGGGATTCTCAGTTTGTTGGTTTCTGTTTGATGATGCTAGTGGAACAGAAATAACACACTTCATCTCCAAGTGGAAATTGCAAGCTAATGAGCTAAGTTTAAGACAGAATATGTTTCCCATGTGAACTCACAGTCATGCCATTGACTGTTCCCAGCTCCTCTCGGATCGTAAAGATATCCAGAAGGGCCTGAGTGGGATGTTCTCCGACTCCATCACCAGCGTTGATCACCGGCCGCCGACAATGCCTTGATGCACTCTACAAACCAGAAGCACTTTTCAGTTTAAACTGAGGTACAAATCAATTCATTTTTTAACAAAAATAATTTAAATTTTCATGAAATATAATAATACTTTTAGAAAAACATGCACTGAGGAATTGTGCACAAACAACCAAGAAATATTTATGAAGAAAATAGTCAATTTAGATGTCATGTCTTAGTGAACTTTTGATAAATTAACTTTTGAAAGTTTTATCATTTACAAGCCTGGGGTCAGTGTTTTTTTTTTTTTTTTTTTTTTTTACAAATGTATATTTTTATTCATAGAAGATGCATTAAATTCCTCAAAAGTGACAGTAAAGGCATTTATAATGTTACATAAGATTTCCATTTCAAATAAATGCTGTTCTTTTGAACTTTCTATTAAGCAAAGAATCCTAGGAAAAAAATCCCTGTTTCCACAAAAATATTAAGCAGCATAATTGTTTCCAAAATAGAGTAAAATATTACAATTTAAAATAAATTTCGCAATATTACTGTTTTTTAACAGTATCGAATAAATGTCTCTTACGTTCACCAAACGCCTTGGTGAGCGTAAAAGACTTTTCAACGGTAGTGTATATCTTTTTTTTTTTTTTTTTAAATCATTAATGTGTGGCTCACTTTTACAGCTCCAGGTATGGGGTGGCGCAGAACAATAACATCAGCATAGCAGCTCATCGAGTGAACAGAGTCGGCCAGAGACTCGCCCTTCTGTGTGGAGGATGTGGACTCGCTGAAATGCACCACTGAACCTCCCAGACGCTGCATGGCTGCTGCGAACGAACTACTGGTGCGAGTGCTCACCTCGTAGAACATGGAGGCCATGACTTTACCCTGGGAGAAGAGGAGCAGAACACAATTAAATGAAGAGTTTACAAGAACTTATTCCATCTATGTTCATTTCATCTCCTTCTGCAAAAGGTTCTGTTTCCAAAGGCCACAGATGCCCATTTCTAAAGGAAGAGATCTACTTCAAACTGTGACACGTCACTGCCAGATTGAACACCATCCTGACTCCAGACTGCTGCTGACTTGAGCAGTTAAATACTCCTGCTGGGGGGAGGTTTATGTAATGTTCAAGATGGGCTGTAATAAACTACAAATCCTCCAGTGACATCTACTCTGCTATTGGACCGAATTACACTATCAAATATCAAAAGTTAAATGTGGTCTACAGCAGTGTTTCCCAACCCTGTTCCTGGAGGCACACCAACACTACACATTTTACAACTCTTCCTAATCGATCACACCTGAATCAACTCATCAGCTCATTAGTAGAGACTCCAAGACCAGAAATATATGGGTCAGAAAAGGGAGACATCCAAAATGTGCACTGCTGGTGTGCCTCAAGGAGCAGGGTTGGGAAACACTGGTCTACAGGACCGGTTGAATCAAGGTCCAATCTGCTCATTCTACTTTCTACATTCTACTACCTTAATGATTATATTAACAATTATTTTAGTATGAGACCCACCATCCACCTTGAAGCAAATAACCAATCCTACTTCAAACACTAAAAAATTGAGGGTTGGTAAGATTTAACGTTTTTCAAAAATGTTCTCTTTTTAATGCTCACAAAGGCTGCATTTATTTGATCAAAAATACATAAAAACAATAAAATTAGAAAACAAATTGTAATAATATTAATTAATTCCTGTTATGGTAAAGCTAAAGAAATTTAGCATCTTTTACTCCAGCCTTCAGTCACTGGATCCTTCAGAAATCATTCTAATATGCTGATTTCAAAATATCATTTATTTGAAATAGAAACCTTTTGTAACATTATATATTTCTTTACGGTTACTTTTAATCAATTTAATGTGTTCTTGCTGAATAAAAGTATTAATTTATTTCCAAAAAAACTCCCTACTGAACCCAAATAGTTTATACAACTCGTCAAAACCCCGCGAACAACAACAACAACAAGTGTATCGGTGAGAACACTAATTTAAACCGCATACACACACCCGAACTTGACTGAACATCAAATTTTTGACAATGCTTTAAATCGTAATGCAACGGACTGGTCTACGGGACATAAATTAAGCCTTTAAATAAAAGGGTTATTCGGCTATTTACACGGTCATTTACAGCCTGCACAGCGACAGGAAATAGAAATGGATATAAAAAAACCTGCCTAGTGCCTTCCTTACACAACACTGACGGTGGACCTGCGCTCAGGAGTAGAGCGGCTGCAGACGAATTCTTTCTACGCGCACACACGCACAATATGACGTCACACTCTGCGCATACGTTTTAAAAAACATATAAATAGTCCTAACACTTTTTAAATAGCCTACTTAAGTGTTTATTACAAATAAATTACTAAATGCTTAAAATAAATAAATGTAAATGAACAAAAATTTGCGTTACATTTACAACCGTGAAAACACTTCTCGTGCCCCTGGTCAACAAGCGAGTC